TAATCTGACCATGCCACCCAAGGTGCCATCAGACCCACAGGCTGCAGTGGAGCTCCTCACACGAGCCCCACACCCCCACCCCGAATTCCTCACCAGAGCCGTTCAGAATTAAGTGGTCTTAGACGTCCTTGTCCCCTCTCCTGCCTGCCATGCGCTGCCTGGCCCAGAGGGCTTCAGCTGCCCCTCCAGCCGGGAGGACGCCATCAACGCTGTCTGCAGAGCTCTTCCAGGACTTCCCGCACTGCTCCCCACTGGGCTCCTGACGATCCTGCTCGTTGGGGGACACAGATGGCCTCATCTCCCAGCTGCGGGGAGCTGAGCTTCCCGTCTGGCTAGCAGTGGGGCTCCTCTGGCCAGATGCCTCAGAGGTAGGGGAGGAAGTGAGGCCCCTCAGAGACCCAGGTGGCCTCTGGGCCCAGCTCCCACCTGCACCAGGAACCTGCCCTCCACACCTGGACTCTGAGAGCCAGCTGAGGGCAGGTGTCAAACCCACACCTGTGTGTCACCACAGAGGGACTTTGGGTAGGTGACTGGTATGTCACCAGCCTTACTGTGCCCCCCGGTGACCAGCAATCTTGCCTCGAGGAACGTGTCCTGGAGAGCACTCACATGAGACCCACGGGGCTGGCCAACACGGGGATCAGGACATTGGGTTTGCGGCTGGCCTGTCTCCATGTGTGGACGTGGCCCTGCCTGATCCTGCCCTGCCTCCCACCTTGACTCAGGGCAGTTTCAGGGAGAGACAACCACTGGCCTGTGAGCATGGTGGCCCCCTCCATGTGTCACTGCCCAGGGAGCTGGGCACTCTCTCCTCTTAGCAGGAGGGGCAGCCCCTGTGCTGGTCCGTGGAGATGGGGGCGGGTTTCTTGGGGTCTGGGGCAAGGGCTGGGTTGCACAAGGTTCCGATTCTCCCCAGGGAGCCCTGCCTCGCTGATTGCTCAAGGCCACCCACTAGAGAAGTCGCAGCCCGGTCACTCTGGGGTGCTGAGGAAATCAGAGTTTGTGCAAACCCAGCAGGGATGTGGCTGAGCCAGGGTGCTGCTCTAGAACCGCGGTTCCGGTTCCTCCCGGGGCCGGACAGCGGCTGAGAAAGGGCTGCTGGGAGGGGGTTGTGGGCAGGCAGGAGCCTTTCCTCAGACTCGGACCCCCAGCCCCTCTGGCCCCTGCCCCTCAGGCCCCGGTCCCCTCTGGCCCCTGCCCCCTCTGGCCTCTGCCCCTCTGGCCCCTGCCCCTCTGGCCCTGGTCTCCTCTGGTCCCTGCCCCCTCTGGCCCCTGCCCCTCTAGCCCCTGCCCCTCTGGCCCTGGTCTCCTCTGGCCCCTGACCCCTCTGGCCCTGATCTCCTCTGGCCTCTGGCCCCTGCCACCTCTGGCCCCTGGCCCCCTCTAGCCCCTGCCCCTCAGGCCCCAGTGTCCTCTGGCCCCTGGCCCTCCTGCCCCTGCCCCCTCTGGCCCCTGCCCCTTGGGCCCCTGCCCCCTCTGGCTGTCCCCATTCAAGCACTGCACTTATGTCCCTCCCCACACCCTGAGCACTATGCAGGCCCCCCATGGCCAGCAAGGCCTCTCATGGCCTCTTTTCCCTGAGCAGCTGCCCTGCAGCGCTCCACCCTCAGGCCTGGTGCGGGCTCTTCCCTGGGCCAGGAGTCCTCCTTCTCAGGATGACCCTCCCTCCCCCAACTCAGACGCCAGAGGGCCACCTCACACCCGGACAGTCACCTCGAGAGCATGTCCACAGCACCCAGAGCCTGAAGCTCTGTTAGGTTTTTCCTTTTAACAGTACCTTCCCCAGTATGCACACTCACACACACTCACACACACACTCACTTACACACACTTATATACACACATACACACACTCATAGACACACACACATACACACACTCATAGACACACACACACACACTCACATATACTCACACTCTCACACACACATACTCACATACACACACACTTATATACACACATACACACACTCATACACACACTCACTTACACACACTTATATACACACATACACACACTCATACACACACTCACTTACACACACTTATATACACACACACTCACATATATACACACATACTTATACACACACATACTCACATACACACACATACACACATACTCACACACAAACACACTCACACACATACTCATACACACTCACTTATATACACACATACACACACTCACACACAACACACACACACATACTCATACACACTTGTAAACTCACACACTCACTTATATACACATATATACACACATATATACACACATACTCTCATACACACACACTCAGTTATACACACATATACTCTCTCTCTCTCTCTCTCTCTCTCTCTCTCTCCCTCACACACACACACACACACACACACACACACGACCTGACGAGGAGTCACCTGGGCTCTATTCCTAGCTCCTCACATGGTAGTGGCTCATCACAGGTGTGCGTAAAGGGCCGTGGACGAGGGCTGGTTGTAGACTCCTGAGGCCTTTGAAGTGACGGTGGCACGTCAGCCTCACGTCAGCCTCACGTCAGCCTCACTTCTGCACAGGAGATCCACAGTGCGTCAGGAGGGCCACGTCCACTGTCTGCAGGCTTAAGAGTCCCCTGTGACTGGAAACCCAGTTTCTCGGGGTCTGGGGACCAGAAGGAGCTCTCGAGTCCCCCTGTACGTAGAAGAAGGCAAACTGGTGGGACCGGGACCCACAGACGAGGCTATTTTTTGGCTGACATGTTTGGAATAAATCGAGTCACCGCTGTTGGAGAATCGGAAGCTTCATGTGGTGGGTTTCAGCTCTCCTTAGGAAACTCCAAAGGCTCTGAACCACTGGGCCTGCATGTCTGCAGGTAGCTCCCAGCTGGCTCTGGTCATCCCTGCTGGGCCACTTCTGTGCCCTCCAGCCATCCCGACGGGTCCCTTAGGTCAGCATGTGAGAGTGCCAGTCATCTCGTCCTCCCTGGAGGGGGGGCAGGCTGCCTCCCAGGCTCAGGCATAGGGCTGGCCTTCTGTTCCTTGAGAGGAGAGACCCCCGCTGAGGGTCCTGGTCAGGGTGGGCTGCAGAGCAAGCTGCCCCACAAAGAGCCTCTGGCCCCTGGGCTTCCCCTCACTGTGTGCCTCCTGTACTTTTGTCAGCTGCTTCCTGAGCCAGTGGAGGAGGCACCGGGCAGCTTGGGTGTCTGGGGAGGACCGACTCGAGGACTCCGCAGGCTTGGAAGTGGCTCCGTAGCTGTTTGCGCTGCCACCTCCCTGGCCGCTTAGCAGGGCTCCCTTTCTCTCAGAGTCTTTGCTGCCTGCTGATGGGGTGAGAATGAGCAGAAGAGGGTGCTTGCCCGGTGCCCGTGCGGTCCTGCTTGCCCAGGGTGTGCGTCAGTGTCACTGTAGTGAAACGAAGCGCCTATCACTTCAGCATCCCTAGCTGAGCAGGGCTGGCGTCCAGTGGGCATTGAACAAGTGCCAACTGCAGGGTCCCTTGTTCACTTAACTTGAAGCAAACGTCTTCCTGCCTGTGTCATACCTGGCTGTACTATTGCATTGAATTGTTAGAATTTACTCCGCATTTTGCTTTATACATTTCATTTCATTTCCATTTACTGTTCTTTGGATAGAGAACACAGTCTGCACAAGGACCCCAGACATCTGACCCAGCCTTGCTGTTTCAGAGGCGGAGATGCGGCTCAGAGTAGCCTCCTGGCCTGGGGAGAGGGGCCGGGCACAGCCTAGTCCCACATCCCACGCTCTGAGGTTTAACTGCTGCCTGCTGAGCTTACAGAGCCCTGTCCCTGTCCTGGCCTACAAAGCTCTCTTGAACTGAGCTCTGCAGCTCTCTCTTTTTGGACAGAGACGGGCTTGGTGGGGCTCCACTGGCATGTGTCACTGCCACTGTGGTGGCCAGAGCCAGCCATTCTGTCTTTTTGACTCAGGGTACTTAAAAACCCCATGGGCGGGGAGCGTGGAGGGATCCAGTATGAGTGCATGAGCATTGAGCTCCTAGGAGGCAGGAGGGGCCTCGTGATAGCCAGCTGCCCTCAGCAATATGCTGACCCAGTGCCCGTGGAAGCCTGTCCTGGGGGTGTGGCCTGCCAGGGATGCGGAGAGGCTGCAGAGGTGCTGTCCCCAGGAGGGCTGCCTCTCCTCGCCGTCTGCCCTCAGCCCGAGCACTCCTGGATGAGCAGTGGGGGACCTGGCTGGGAGTCTAGCCCTGGAGCCACCCCGTGTGACCCAAGCCACCTGCTCCCTGCCCCCATGAGCTTATTCATTCCTTCAGCAAACTACCACGAGCACCTCTTTGGTCAGGGTCCACCCTGGGAAGAAGTAGAAATGAGTCGAAATGAAATGCAGGCGAGCTGTGGGGCAGAGAGGAGTCCGCAGTTAATTTTGAACAGTGGAGGGAAGCTTCTCAGAAGCCGAACCTCGTGGTCCGATTCTCGTGGAATCCTGGAGTGGCCTTGGGGAGTGGCAGGGGGTGCAGAACCCAGGGACCAGAGGAGTCGTCCATTTCTAGCAGCCGCAGCCCAGGGAGAGGAGCTGGACAGAGCAGGCGAGCTCAGGAACCATCGGAGGGCCTGAGGGCGTGATGAGGGAGGGATGAGGAGGAGCCTGGGGAGTCTGGGGCTTGGCCAGGTGCCTGCCCAGCACGAGGCTGTTCCCTGGTGACCCACTCCAGCTCAGGTGGGTGCTTCCATGGCCGGCCGTGGCCTTGGTCTGCCGTGCGGGGGTGGGAAGGGGCAGAAGGTGCTTTCCTTGAAAGCCCAGAGGAGCTTTTGCGCGGCCGGAGGAGCCCTGATTGCTGGTGTTTATTTGCGGGGTGTTACCGAGTGCCCACCGCCTGCCTGTCGGGCGGCGGCTGTTTAACAGTGCCAAGGACCGTGGCTGCAGGGGCCTCGCGGTTCTGCAAACGAGACACCTGTCCTAACTTGCGAACGTGGGCCTTGTGGTGACCGAATCTCCCGGGCGGCTGCCTGTGCTGAGTCTGTTTCCATCTGTTTCCCCCGCAGATGCCCTAAGGCCACTGAGCTGCTCAGAGGGCTGCCGTGGTGGCCCGCAGCTCCCAGGCCACCTGCATGTACGTGGCAGGCTCCTGCTGACACACCTGGAAAGCCACCTTGGGTTCTACCAGCATCATCCTCAACAACCCGCCCAGGCCATGGAGGCCCCCGAGGTCCCCGTGGGCTCCCTGGTTGACTTTGGGACAGAGCCGCCCACCGCCCCTCCCCTGGAGGCAGCGCCCTCAACACTGCAGGACGGGGATGGCTCCCTGGGGGACGCTGCCTCAGAGAGCGAGACCACCGAGTCCGCGGACAGCGAGAACGACATGGGCGAGTCGCCCTCACACCCGTCCTGGGACCAGGACCGCCGCTCCTCCTCCAACGAGTCCTTCTCCTCCGGCCAGAGCGCCGAGTCGGCCCAGGACGAGGACGCCCTGGCACTGCGGGAGTTCATGCGTGGCTACGTGGAGAAGGTCTTCTCAGGAGGGTAGGCCGCGACGGTCAGCCTGGCTCTGCCACCAGGCTCGGGGACGTGCCTTCTGCTCTAGGCTCAGCCTCCTCCCAGGGACCTCGTGGGGCTGGTGCAGCGGCTCTCAGTCCCCCGGGGCTGCAGTCAGGTCATGAGGGAGCCTCTCAGGGACACCCAAGCCCAGGCCCCACCCTGAAATAGTCCCACCAGCTGCCAAGGCCAGCCCACCACGTGCAGGGCCCTGGGAGATGCTGGAGGGCCCAAGGGCAGCCATTCTGGCCTCATGCAGCTCCGTCCCCTCCCTGTCCAGCCCCTGGCCCCTCCTCATCCAGTCCTGTCAGCACCGGGCAGAGCTGTAGTGGACCGTCCATCCTCACTTCCCCTTAGTGTCCTCACTCACCTCCCACCTTGTGAACGCCTCCGTGGGCATTCCAGGCAGGACAGGACTGTCCGTGCTACCTTCAGTGGCCTCTTATTGTGTGGGCAGCACCCCGTGGCCGGTCAGATGGCGGGAAACTGCACGGGTCCTCTGTAATCCCGATGTGCTCTGCCAATTGCTGGTCCTCTCGTTCCAGAGTTTTCTCTGTGCTTCCCAAGTCAGGTTTGGGGAGGGGCTGCTCTGTGGGGTCACCACTTCCCGTTCTGCCAGCCCTGCCTCTCCGCTGAGTCCACGGGGAGTCGTGGAGCCTGGTGCTGAGTGGTTTCAAGGCCCTTCCTGTTGACGGTCTCATCGGGGCCGTGGTTGGCAGGCGGCTGCGTTGCTTGCTGGGATCGCACGGGGAGGCACGGGTGGCAAGTGTCCAATACCGCGTCTTATTCTGCCTCCTGGGGAGCGCAGGGGGTGGCTGACTCCTGAGCAGCTGCTCTGCAGGGTCCCTCTGGGCGCCTCTGTTGGAGGAGCGAGCTGAGGGCGCGGCAGCAGGAGCGCCAGGCTCTGGAGGGCCTCCAGCTCTGCCCTCTCATGGCGCTTCGGGCCTCAGCCCGGCAGGGAGCCCCCGTCCTGCCGGTTCCGGGCGGTGGAGGTTGATTTTCAGCCTCCAGAGCAGCACCCCTAACCCTGCTGGGTGTGGGCCTGTGGGCCAGCTGCCCCGCAGCGCCTGGGCTGGCACAGGTGCCGTCTGGGCCCCCAGCCCCTCTGAGCGAGAGCTCCCTTCCAACAAGGTCTGGGGAGGACTCGCCCGCACACGGGAGTGTGAAAGTGCCCGCTTGGGGGACCCTTGTCCAGGCTCAGCAGCAGCAATGAGAACCGTGGCCTGGTGACACTCCGAGAGCCAGGTCTGCTACCAGGCTCCAGCCTCCTGTCTGAGTGGCAGGGAGGACTCAGATGACCCTTCACATGTAGGCCAGCCTCAGCGTCCTCTGTGCTTTGAGAAGGAAAGAGTCATGCGATGATCCAACGTCAACTATCTAGAAATGCGTCTGTGTTCCTGGGAGCACCGTGCTGTGGCTCCCCGCTTAATTTGTCTGACAACACTGAAACCAGCCTCCTCTGCACACACCTAGAAAAGGGAGCCAGCCCCGAGGTCCACTTGCCAGGGAGGCCAGGCTATGTCTGCAGCAGCTCGTCAGCACGTGAACCCCGTCCCACAGCCGGTCACATGCGTCTTCAAGAGCATTCCCCAGGTCACTGCAGATAGCTGGTGAATTCCCGTTTTATCTGGTAATTTGGGGTCAACGAGACCAAGATATTTTCTACAAACCCCTAAATAAACGCACGTCACATGACCCATCCACCTCCTGCCTTCATCTTCATTTTTGGGTCTTTAAATCTGAGGAAGAGTATTGGCTGCTCCCCAAAAGAACCAAGAGCTCTCAGGGTCCTGTCCTCACGGGGGCTCAGAGGGCAGGGGACAGAAGGCGCTGTGGAACCAGGAGACCTGGTGGACTCTGAATCTCGGCCCGCAGGCCAGGTGGATTCTCTCAGCCAGGCCTCCCCAGGGGTGCAGGAGGGGAGGCCCCAGGTCGGAGGCCGGCCCACGGCTCCCGGCTCTTCCCTCCTGTGAACTCTGCCCCAGAGCACTGACTTCACTCTGCCTTCTCTTCAGGGAGGACTTGGATCAGGAGGAGAAGGCCAAGTTCGGGGAGTACTGCAGCAGCCAGGATGGGAAAGGCCGCGAGTGGTTTGCTCGATACGTGAGCGCCCAGGTGAGCTGGGGACTCGGGGACCCGCCCAGGGAAGGGCAGGGCACACTGGGCTGCACTCTGGGGAAGAGGGGAGGGAATCGCCCCACGGAACATGGACCGGGATGTCAGGAGAAGGGCCATGTGGGGCAGTGGGAATGGCCAGGGCGCGTGTGACGCCCGCCCTGGGGGAGAGGGAGAAACTCACGCCCGCGAGGTTGAGAACGTTCTTGTAAAGCCGAGCACGAGGGCTCTGGGCATGAGTATCTTTTATTGAATAACCCACAGTGCTCAGTTTTGCCAAAGAGAATCTATCCAAGATAAAGGTATTAACAAAGCTCAGAAAAGAACCAAATTTATTAAGTCTCCAATAGGTTGATTTTTTATTTCTTCTAAGTATTTTTTAATCACAAATAAGGCATTCTTCATTAAAAAAAATCAGGAAATGCAAAAGAACCTAATTACCCACAAATCCAGACCCAGCCAGTGCCGCCATCTGGGGCTTGTCCCTCGGTGTTTCCCACCTGGGTGTGAGCGTGGGGAGTTGCTTTCAACCCCTGGGCAGAGGCAGGCAGGCCCTCTGCACCCTGAGGGCCAGGCTCTGTGGGCCGCACCCTGCAGGGTCCTGGCAGCGGGAGGGCGGCTGCGATTAGAGACAGTGTGGCAGGACTGTCCGGGTGGCCAGCCCCTGACTGCCTGCCCCTCTCCGCACAGCGCTGCAACTCCAAGTGCGTGTCGGAGCCGACCTTCTACCGGCTGGTGCAGTCCTTCGCGGTGGTGCTGTTCGAGTAAGTGGCCGCCCCCGGTGAGGGGCCAGTGTGAGTCATGGCCGTGCTGGGCACGAGCTGGCAGCTCTTCTGCTGTTCCCCGCGTCAGCCAGGAGTCACGGCCAGGTCTCCCGGTAGCAGAGCTGGCCATAGCAACTAGAGGGCTACCCAGCGGGGCACGAGCGGGCCCTCCCTGTGCCCTCCCCTCCCCCGTGCCCTGGAGGTCCCCACGTCCCACCGTGAAGCATTTCCAATAGTCACCTCACGGGCCAGGCGCCCTGCTGGATGGTGGGGGGCCTCCTGCTGCCTGTGAGCCGGAGAGGTGTGGCTGGAGCTGCATCCGCAGAAGGCCGGGGACATGACGGGTGCCGAGGCAGGGCTGCCACACCACGTGCCACCCGGGCTCCTTCCCACGCCATGGCAAGATGGCCAGACCCACTTTGTGCTTTTGGCCTTGAATCAGAGCAAGCGAAGTTCAAGAGGGAGGGACACTTCTCTGCTCCACTGACCCCGACCTCCTGGGCAGCTGGAGAGGAGGGGCTTGGAGGGCAAGGGCGAGGGGACCCTTTGGGGCCTGTCAGCACCCTGCCCATCCCCTCCAGGACGCCTTGAGGCTGGGGCCCCGTGTGCCCTCCAGGTCCTGGCTTCTCCCTCCGCCCCCGCCCCCATCACCAAGCCCATTGGCCCTTCTGGGCCCCAAGGGCTGCCCTCCTTTGCTCCTGCTCCCCTCTCGGCAGAGGGCGGCTGCTCGGGCCTTCCTCCCCCGCCCCTCTCCTGGGCCCTCTCCTGCTGCACTTGCCCAGCCTCTCCGGGCTTCCATGGGGTCTGGGGCTGGGGCTGGGAGGGGAGGGTTGAGGGGCCTCGTGGAGGGCGTCAGGGAAATGCACTGCAGCAGCACAGGCCAGCAGCAGGGCGTCAGGGAAATGCACCGCAGCAGCACAGGCCAGCAGCAGGGCGTCAGGGAAATGCACCGCAGCAGCACAGGCCAGCAGCAGGGCGTCAGGGAAATGCACCGCAGCAGCACAGTCCAGCAGCGTGTGCAGCAGGCGCCGCGGGGTCTCTGGGGCAACGTGTCTCCGCGCGCGGCCGTCTGCAGGTGCAGGCGGCGTCAGGGACCCTGGGCTGGCAGACTCCACTGGTCTACGTGGCCCTGTGGTCTGTTGAGTTTTAGTTTATGAGCATCTTCAACGCCGACTCTGTCCTCTGCTCACCGTCCTTTTTTTAATATTTACGTTTTAGTTTTTTTAGGTGGACACGATGACTTTATTTGTATGTGGTGCTGAGAATCGAACCCAGGGCCTCATGTCTGCTAGGCAAGCCCTCTGCCACTTGAGCCACATCCCCAGCCCTGCTCACCGTCTTTCATAGTTTTATTGATCGTTCTTTAAATTGATCAATCGGTTCAGATATTTTTTAAAAGAACAGAAATGACCCTCAGTCCCACCCCCCGGGTGGCTTCTGTTGACCTGCTATCATCCTCTCTTTTTCTCCAAAGTGGGAGCAGAACCAGGGCTGCCTCCCCACTAAGCTACATCCCCATCCCCAGCTCTTTTCATTTTCTATTTTGAGACAGGATCTAAGTAAGTTGCTGAGGCTGGCCTCAAACCTGTGGTCCTCCTGCCTCAGCCTCCCAAGTGCCTGGAGTCGCAGGCCTGCACCTGCACCTGCACCTGCACCCGGCTTGGCCTTTTGCTTTCCTTTCTGGTGCTGGGACTGAACCCAGGGCCTGGTGCATGTGAAGCAAGCCCTGTACCAGCTGAGCCGCATCCCAGCCCTGGGCTTGGTTTAAAGGTAATAATTGTGCAAAGTTAAAGACCACAGAGGGCTGGGCGCCGTGGTACAGGCCTGAAATCCCAGGCCCTCCACAGGCTGGGGCAGGAGGCTCACAAATGTGAGGGCAGCCTCGGCCACTTAGCAAGACCATGTCCCAAAATAAAAAGTAAAAAGGGCTGGGGACGGGGCTCGCGGAGTACCTCTAGCTTCAATCCCCAGAACCCCAACAAATAAACAAACAAACAAACAAAAAAACCCAAGCCAACAGGAAGGAAAGGCCTGGCGGGGGACAGAAGGGAACTGAGAGGCCCAGGGGCAAGGCCGCCCCCTGGTGGCTGCTGTCTTGGCTTCTCCCCTGGGAACGTGGGGAGCAGGCACAGTGGGTGGATGCCCTTCCTCCCAGGCGTTGCTGTCACACACAGCTGTGTCCGCAGTGGCACGGACATCCGTGTGGCAGTTGTGCAGGAGTGTGCGTGGCCGCAGCCGGCACCCTGCAGATGGCTGTTTACGTTGCTCCTGGTCCCCTCGTCCCCAGCATGGTGGCAGCAACATTAAGCCTCCGCAGCCATGACAGACTCGCTGCTGCGGCCGACAGGCTCGCTCCGCACCCCTTCTCCCGATTGCTGGATGGAATGGCTCCGCGCAGTTCAGGTGGACGTGCGCCGGCCAGTCTCCATGTGCAGTAGGAACGACCCTCTGCGTTTGCGGAACATTGATCCTATTCAAGTTTCTTTTCCATAAAGATTAAATTTGCTTTATAGCAAGGGACAGGAGGAGTAGCTATCCACACACCCCAGGTGTCCCCAGCCAGGGGCTTCAGCAAGGAACTCTGTCTCGGGCCCCACCCAGGCCCACGGAGTCAGGCCTGGGGGCCAGCAGCCCGCTCTCAAGCGCCCTCCAGGGATCCTGTGCTCCTGGCATCTGAGCCTCCGATGTGGGGACATCCTGTGACTGCTGACTCCTGAGCCGCGGAGGCTGGTTTGGACTGAAGCTGAAGGCTGCCCTTGGTCCCTTTTCTGCTCCTGTGTGCTGAGCTGAGTGGACCCTGACTTTCCTGTTTAAAGTGACGCAGGCCAGGCTGAGGTCCAGAAACGCCTCCGGGTCCAGGGTCAGGCCCGGGCTCAGGCTGTGTGCCTGTAGGAAACTCCTAATTGGACCCGAGGGGTTATTTTTGTCACCTGTCTGGTGGCAGTGCCTAGGGAGTGAGGTGCTAATGTGCACGTTGCGGAGTGTCTGGGCTGGTCAGTGAACTTGCGGTGAGGCCAGGGGGAACGCTCCTCTCGCCGCCGACCCTGCCTCTCATTTCAGGTGTCATCAGATGGATGACTTCGGACCTGCCAAGAACCTCATGACCATGTGCTTCACCTACTACCACCTGGGTGAGACGGGGGCTCGGCCTGGGCAGAGTGCCAACCTGGAAAGCTGAGACCTGTCAACTGCCAATGCGGTCGCTCAGAAAGGAAAGCCTGGGCCTCCAGGAGCCGGCAGGGGACTCCTGAGAGGGGGGTGGCCGCACTGTGGTCGGGCTGGCTGTCCCCGGAGCGCGGCAGGAATCCCACAGTGGAGCAGGAACACTGGGCCTGAGGGTCTCAGCTTTATGTTTCAGCAAATTATGACACAGCATGGGCTGTCGGGAGGGGAGCAGCCGGGGCCCGGGGCTGGAGGAGTTGGGGTGCTGAGCTGTGAGGGCTCTTCTGGCCCGTTGCATTGCAAGTTTCTGCATGCTGGAGCTTGGGGGCCCCTGCTGAGCTGCGTGGGCTGCGACAGGCTGCTCTGCCCTGTGAGTGTGGTGCTGGGACCCGCTGGGGAGGGTGGGGCAGGCTGAGCACGGCCTCCCTCCCTCCAAACCAAGAGCCCGCTCCTGCAGCACAGGGCCTTCCCTTGGGCAGGCTCCTGGTCCTCCTGCCCCCACAGACCACTCTCTCCACGCCCCATGGTCAGTTGACAGGACACCACCGGGCAGGCCCCAGACGCCAGGCCTTTGGCCCAGGTGGAAGGTCCTCCATCTCAAAGCCCAGGATCAGAGCTCCTTCAACTAGTGGAGGACCCAGCCCTGACCTGGGAGGGTGCCTCGGCCTGAGGGTCACTTTGGCCTGGACGGTGCCGGGCCTGCAGCCTGCTGCTGCCCTAAGCAGGGTGTTGTGCGTGGCCTTGGTGCCCACTCCTCCGGCCTTCTCTTCTTCCATCCCTGTTCACCGTCACACGCCTGGCCAGGTGCCCTGGAGTCTGCTCTGACCCTCCACTGTCCTCAGGGCCCAGAGAGGACCTCTCTTTCCTCTCTCTCACCTCACACTTTGCCCACTGCCACAGTCAGGGTTCCTGCCATGCACCCGAGCCCCCTGTGTGAGTCTCTCCCTCCTTCTGGTCTCCTCCTGCTCCTCCTCCTGCTCCTCCTCCCCTTCCTCCTCCTCCTCCTGTTCCCCCTTCCCTCCTGCTCCTCCTCCTGCTATTAGTCCCCCTCCTCCCCTCCTCCTCCTGTTCCCCCTCCTCCTTCTCCTGTTCCCCTTCCTCCTGCTCCTCCTCCTGCTCCTCCTCCCCTTCCTCCTGCTGCTCCTCCTCCTCCTGTTCCCCCTCCTCCTTCTCCTGTTCCCCTTCCTCCTGCTCCTCCTCCCCTTCCTCCTGCTGCTCCTCCTCCTCCTGTTCCCCCCTCCTCCTGCTCCTCCTCCTACTATTAGTCCCCCTCCTCCCCCTCCTCCTCCTGTTCCCCCTCCTCCTGCTCCTCCTCCCCTCCCTCCTGCTCCTCCTCCTCCTCTTGCACCCCCTCCTCCTGCTCCTCCTCCCCTTCCTCCTCCTGCTCCTCCTCCTCCTGTTCCCCCCTCCTCCTGCTGCTCCTCCTCCTCCTGTTCCCCCCTCCTCCTGCTCCTCCTCCTCCTTCTCCTTCTCCTCCTCCTCCTCCTGCTCTCCTTCCGCCTGCTTCCCCTTCCCCTCCTCCTCCTCCTCCTCCTGTCCCCCTCCTCTTGCTCCCCCTCCTCCTCCTGCTCCTCCTCCCCTTCCTCCTGCTGCTCCTCCTCCTCCTCCTCCTGCTCCTCCTCCTCTCTTGCTCCCCCTCCTCCTCCTGCCTCCCCTGCTCCTCCTCCTTCTTCTACCACCAGGACTTGAACCCAGGGGCACTTTACACTGAGCTATCCCCCAGCCTTTATCATTTTTATTTTGAGACAGGGTCTGGTAGTTGCTTAGGGCCTCACTAAGTCGCTGAGGCTGGTCTTGAACTTGTGATCCTCCTGCCTCAGCCTCTGGGGTTACAGGCGTGGCCACCGCACCCTGCACAGCTTTCTGGTTCTATGGGGGTGACTCCTGCTGTCTCCTTCCTCTCTCCTAGTTCTTGGCCGACTCCCTGGTAGTTGCATAGGGACCGTCCTCAGAGGGAAGAGCAGCCCCTTCCTTGTCCAGCCGCCCTGTCAGGGAGACTGAGGATGTGCTCTCCCACCACCCAGGCTGCCCCTGTGTGCCCAGGGGCATCTTTCTGGCCCTCAGCCATTTGGGCTGTGCCCACCTGCTTCTCACTGCCCCCTCCTCTCTCTAGGCAAGCCGCAGCAGCTCCCCTCCGAGCCCAGGGAGAAGCCCGCGGGCAGCATCGACTCCTACCTGAAGTCCGCCAACAGCTGGCTGGCAGAGAAGAAGGACATTGCCGAGCGGCTGCTGAAGAACACGGAGAACGTGAAGGGCTTCTTTGGGGGGCTGGAGACCAAGCTGAAGGGACCCCTGGTCAGGAAGAATGAGTGAGTGTCCTGCGTCGAGGCCTCGTGCCTGGGAGACAGAGGCAGGGCCCCTGTCCAGCCTTCACCATCTCGGGTCCTGTACTGCTCCTGAGGAGCGCAGCGCTGCCCAGTGTGACTGTCCACTCTGCAGAGCTCAGGGATGTCCTGGCAGTGTACTTCAGGGACCAGGAGGAGCATGGGCAGCTGAGGGTTGGCCGCAGGGACATCACACACCTGTCCCTGCTTGCTCCTCCCCGGCAGTGAGTGGGGTTCACGGAACACAGAGCAGCCACGGGACTGGACAGAAACTCGAGGCCCTGGAGGACGGGAGGGGTGGTTGCAGGCGCCCAGGCTGAGACACACACAGGAAGGGCACGTCCCCACCAGGAGCCACCACCACAGAGGCCCCTGACCGCCCCCGGCTTGGTGCAGGTGGCATGGTCTCATCCCGCCGGGCCACACAGTTCAGGGCAGAGACCACAGCTCCACATTCCCAGGGCCCAGCCGCGGACGGGACCTTGATTCCATGAGTGTCTTTTCAGCAAACCGCTGAATGCCCACAGCCTCTCACCAATGGGAGTGGTTTGACTGTGATCTTTCTTCCTCAGGGAAGATGAGAACAAGCCCAAGGACAAGCAGCCCAAGACTGGTGAGTAGCGCCCCTGGAGCTGCTGGGGAGGCGGGGCCTGGAGGGGCGGGGCCTGGTGGGAGGCGGGGCCTAGTGGGAGGCGGGGCCTGAGGGAGGAGGGGCCTTGGTGGAGAGGGGAGGGGCTGGGCCTAGAGGAGGGGACACTGGGGTGAGGCTTGGGGCGGGGTCCTGGGACAGGACTGAAGGGTTGGGGCCTGGACTGACCTTGTAACCCAGACGCCTGCAGGGGTCTGAACCCACCCACCGTTGAGGGGCAGCAGGAAGCAGCAGCAGTAAATCCCAGGGGCTTAACTGGGTCCCCCAGCAGCCGGCCTTAGGGTCCCTGCCTGGTCTATTTTCCTATGAATTTCTGAGGAAGGGCCACTTCTCTAAGGAGTAGGCAGAAACCAAAGTCCCTAACTCCAGGGACTCTAGCGCATTCCTGGGAGGGGTGGCCCCTGTGTGTTTCCATGGCCTTTTGGGGGAGGGGCTGTGGTGGCTGCTGACACCTGCCCAAGGCTCTGCCCTCAGCCTCTCTCGTCCTCCTGCAGTGACCGTGTTCAGCCCCGAGGACGAGCAGAAGGGGGAGAAGATCTACCTGTACACACACCTGAAGCAGCAGCCCATCTGGTAAGGCGCCTGGCTGGAGGGCAGCGCCCCCTCTGATGGCCTCTGTGTGCTGGACTGTGGCTCAGGAGAGGGGGAGTGAGAGCTCACACACGCCAGACGCCGAGCGAGGGAGGGCCGCACTAGGCCGCAGACGGCCTCCCCGCAGTGTCCTCTCCTCTGGGCCCTGCCCCCTCCCCTCCCCACTAAGGGGGTGCAGAGTGCTGCGGGCTGGGGTTCCTTTATGGGCTGATGGAATGTCGGGGAGGCAGGAGCCGCGACGGCTGAGCACGCGACGGGGGCTGTGGTGGACGTTTCGTGTCACTGTATTTTGTTCAGTGTGGCCAGGGCCAGGCTGCACCGGCCAGGCCGTGCTCTGTCCGCTGTAGAGAGCGAGTCCCACTCCACACTCACACGCGCTGAGCCGGCTGTGGGAGTGGGAGTCCAGTCGGCCTGGCGTGGCTTCCTCGTGTCCCCACCAGGGTGGGCTGTGGTCTGCGGTGGGCAGTGTCCAGGTGGAAACCCTGAAGAGCTGGGCCCAGTGAAGGCCGCCAGGTCCAGGTGTCGCCTGTGGAAGGCTTGCGTAGCTCTCCCGGGACCAGGGTGGCCGCTCAGCCCCAGCTGCAGGCACGTTTCCCTCCCTGTCCTCTCTTACGCTCACGAGAGTGACCACAGTGCTGCTGGGACGCCAGCTGCTGGGACTTGAGCTGAGACCTCCCTGCCCAGGTGTTCTGTTCCAGGGCCACGCCCCGGTGGTCAGGGGATGAGGTCCTCCCGGGTAGTCGCTGGCACGGCCCTGAGCCCTCTGAGGTGCCCAGAGGCATGTCTTATCCTCTGGCTAGTGAGGTCCAGAACCTGGAGGTGTCAGACATGGGCCCTCCCTCAAAGGTCACTGTTCGGCTGCAGTAGAACTTCCCACACAGCCCTGTGAGGGGTGCGGAACCCAGGGCAGAGGCCTAGACGGGGACTTTGGGGGACACCCCCATCGGGCTGGACCTGAGCCCCCCCAGGCAGCAGAGCAGGGGAGAGGCTGGACCTGGCCAGGTGGCATCTTGAGGGACGGGACTCTGCCGGGCCTGGGCCTTGCTGCTGTGTTGTCTGGACGGGGCAGATGCGTCCATGAGGGACCAGATGGCAGATCTTTAGATTTCGTGGGCTGCGTGCTCTCCACCACCACCACAGCCAGGCCCTGTAGCTCTGTCAGTGAGTAGCCGGGTGACCTTCATCCACAGAAAGAGGCGGGGCCTCCTGTGGCCAGGTGCCGCCTGTGCCGCTCTGTGCCGCCCTGTGCCACCTGTGCCGCCTGTGCCACCCTGACCTTCCCGGGAAGACGTCCCGTCCCCGTGCCTGCCTTGTGCAAGGCGCATCCCCGCTGATTCCCTTTTATGTCGTGAGACCCTGTTCTGTGGAAGAGCTGGACCCCGTGTCCTCTTGGAGCCTCACCAGGAGGCAGAGAGGACACAGCAGCCTGAAGCTGCACCCCAGGTCCCCAGGCCACCTGACTTCACGCCCCACAGCAGCTCCGCGGGCCCCCCGGCCCATTCCGGCCTCCTCTCTCAGGAAGAGGCAGTGCCAGGAGCCCCGGGGACCCCCAGCACCCCCTCCTCAGCTCTGCCTCCCTCCCAGAGCTGCACAGGCACCGGGCACCCAGCTTCCCCACCAGGTGGCAAGACGCTGGGTGGAACTGTCGGTGACAACTGTGTCTCCCCGCAGGCACACGCTGAGGTTCTGGAACGCAGCCTTTTTTGACGCCGTCCACTGTGAGAGGAGAAAGCGTTCTCCCACCACCAGGTAGGAGCCAAGTGTGGTCCACTCTCCTGGGAAAGAGGATGGGGCAGCTCTAGTCGCATTTTCTGAAGAGGAGAGCAGAGGAGTGGCCGGGCTGCTGGCCTCTGTCCTCCCTGCCCGGCCTGTAGCCCGCCCACTGCCGGAGGCCCGTGCTCTGCTTCGAGGGGGATGCTCAGCCTGCATGAGTGCTTCTGTCCTGGGACCCTGGCATGACTGGCCCGAACCTCCCCGAAATGCACACGCCCTCGGAATGAGGCCTTCAGGACCCCCACCCACCCTGCTGCTCTCTCTGCGGGTCCGGACCCTGGGGACAAGCTGCGGTGACAGGGTCCAGGGTGGAGGGTGGCCACCACCCTGACTCTGGAAGCGCACCTTCTGCTGCCAGCTCAACCTGTGCTGACGGTGACCTGCCCCTCAGAGGGCCCGAGAAACACGAGGAAGTGCAGGGTGAAGGTCGGTGCTGACTCACCCCCAGGGGACAGAGCCCCTGCTCCCCCTGGCTGGACACTGACTCCCCAGGGACAGAGCCCCTGCTCCCCCTGGCTGGACACTGACTCCCCAGGGACAGAGCCCCTGCTCCCCCTGGCTGGACACTGACTCCCCAGGGGACAGAGCCCCTGCTCCCCCTTGCTAGAACAAGAGAAGGCTGCCGCCCACTGTGCAGCCCCCACACGGAGGGGCAGCGGTCCAGGGAGGACAGGCCAGGTCTGGTGCCCTGAGTGGCGCCCCAGTCACATGGCTTCAGACTCTGGGTCTCTCGGAGCTCTGATCCCTTGTTAATGAAGCCAGTCCCCTCCTGTCACTGCGGGGGCCCACACCTCCCCGGAGGAGAGGAGCCAGAGGTGTCTGTGTGGAGACCAGTCAGTGGGCACTGAGCCCTCTGTGCAGGGACAGCTGACCCTGGAGGGGAGCAGGGTGCCGCCTCGGCCCTCGCAGTCCGTGGCTGCCTCCTGGGGGCAGAGGGAGCATGGGGGGGCCTGACCCTGACGCTGCCCGCGGGCACCAGGGAGCCTCTGCTCTGCTGAGGAGCTGAAGGAAAGGCCGACGCGCCCAGGGATGGGCCTCGCCTCTAGCTTAGCTCTCTGCCAGGAAGTGGCCTGTCCCGGCGTCCTGTCCTCCTGCCCGCTGCCCACCCGCCAGCCCGCCTGTCCTCATCCACACATCTTGCACAACTGTGACATGTTCCTTTGTTCCTTTGTTTACCTGTTTCCGCTGCCACTCCAGAGGGGATGCTGGACAGCAGGAGAAGAGGTGTGTGTGTCCGCCTTACAGACCGGGGGCCGCTGAGGCCGCTGCAGGGCGGGAGGGCCCCTGGGGAGGCGAGCCAGGGCGAGGAGCGGCGGGCCTCAGGTGTCTGTGTGGAGACCAGTCGGTGGGCACTGAGCCCTCTGTGCAGGGACAGCTGACGCCGGAGGGGAGGAGGGCGCCGCCTCGGCCAGCCCTTGCAGTCGGTGGCCGCCTCCTGGGGACAGAGGGAGCACGGGGGCCCTGACCCAGACTGGGCAGATGGCGGGGCCTGCAGGGCACAGCGCAGCTCAGGGAGGAAGAACAGTGACCGCAGAGAGCCCGCCCGGCTTGGAGGGGGCTCTGTCCACCTGTGCTGTCCACCTGGCCCGCCCAGGCCGACGGTGAGACCACAGCTGGGCCTCCCTCAGGGGGGAGGTGCCGGGGCCATGGGCCTGGGGACACTCGGCAGCACAGTGTCCTTTTTTCCAGCCCTGGGTGACGGGGAAGCTGTGTGGGTGGGAGGTCCCTTGGAAAAAAGCCAGGCGGGGCTGTCCCCAAGAGCTCCCGTGGCTGGAGCCTGAGTGGCCCGAGTTGGGAGCCCTGTGAGGTCTTCTCGGTGACAGAGACCTAGTTGCTGATTCAGTGTTGGTTTTGCGAGCTCGTGAGTTTGCTGGTGGCTGAGAAGTCCTGCTGCCATGCAGCCTCGGTGTGTCCTTGAGACGGGCACTTAGGCACCACAGAGGCCTCCGTGGCTGCCTCCTGGGGACAGAGGGAGCATGGGGGGGCCTGACCCTGATGCTGCCCGCGGGCAGTGGGGGTGGTGCCCCTGTCCTGTGGTCCCTCGGGGTGATGGCCTCCCGCTTGGCAGGCTTCCTGGCATCACAGCCCAGGAAGGCTGGGCCCAGCCTGGCCTCCCTGAGAGCCGGTGCCGCTGCCCAGCCCTGCTGAGGCGCAGCCGGCCTCCTAGGCCTCCGGGGCCTCGGGCCTCCCCACAGATTCGACGTGCCCAGCCCTGGTGGGTTCCACTCCTCTGACCCACCCTGCGCCACCCAGGCCCCAGATGCCCAGGCCAGCAACATGACCTCTCCTTCAGTGACCTCCACTGTCATTCCTGTCACCTCTGACCCCCTTTTCAGAGGGGCCTTCTGTGGGCGAGTGTGAGTCCATCCAGAGCCCACGGGCCGGAGTGCAGTGCGCAGGGCTGGCCTCCTGTGGGACCAAGATCAGCTCTCAGGAAGCAGCTGAGCCCCCAACTGCTAGTCGCCTTCCACCCCACCTGCGGGGCCAGGTCCGCTCCGGATTCTAGTCTCCCCACAGCAGGAGGGAGAACCACCTCCTCGTGGGTCCAGAACAGCAGCATCTGGGCTGCTGTGCTGAACACTCAGGGGAGCCATTCCCCGGTGGCCTGGGGTGTGCAGTGCCCTCCCTGCACAACTGTACCTGATGGCCAGTGGTAGGGCAGGATTTGTGTGGCTGCCAGCCCTCAGGGGGACTATTAGAGGGAACTCGGTGGGGAGGAGTATAAGGTGGGACTCAGTGCGTCCTGGGGGTCTCTGGGCCCTGCCCTCAGAGGCTGGAAAAGTGCTGCAGCCCTGAAGCCTCGGGCCGAGGGGTGGAGAGGAGTGGAGCTGTGTCCTTCTGTCCGTCCATCCCTGGCCCTTGTTGTCCTGACTGTTCTCCGGGCGGTTTCTGCTCCTTCCTTTGCTCTTCCTCTCAGCGTCCAGTCCCCTTTTAGGGGGAAACGGGCTAAAATGAACTTGCCCACCTGCAGCGGCTCCTCTACCTGCTTCTCCGACCGCCGGGTGCCCGGGTGCAGGGTCTGACCAGGGGGCCGGGCAGGGAGGGGCGGCCCCAGTCCCCTGGGCAGAGGCTGGAAGGGAGGAGCAGTGACATGACCTGACCCCCACTGTGGGGTGCAGGTGGGCCTTAACCGGGACCCTCGGGGTCCTGCCCTGGACCCCCTTCAGCTCAGTGCTCCCTCAGGGACGGGGCAGGCGATGCCCACACTCCGCCCTGCGCTGTGATCAGGACGAATTCCCTTCCTGGTGGGGTCCTTCCTGGTGGCCTGCAGCTGCCAGGAGGCCAGAGCTGCCTCTCCTCTTGGGTCTCCACCTGGAGGCAGCCTTCCCACCCGGGAGGACTCCGGGAGGCCGCATCCCTCCTGCTTCTCCGAGGCCACAGAGCCTCTTGGTTGTAGGCGGAGTGACATCAGGGGGCTGGGTGGGCCCTCGGCACCTTGTCACAGGGTGGGCTTCTCCTAGAAGCCACTCCTCAAGGACAGGCCTCCAGCCAGGAAGGCAGAGCCTGGGCCACCAGCACCGCCGGGCGGACGGGGGGCGGCAGATGGCTGTGTGAAGCCCTCCTGTCCCCGCAGGGAGAGGTGGTGCCACATGACACAGGAGGAGCGGGACGACAGCCTGCGGTTCCACGAGAACATCACCTTCGGGCAGCTGGGGTAAGAGCGGCGGGCAGCCCCGACCGGTAGCTATGGCCTCCGCACTCAGGGTGGAGGACTGAGCCCCGCTGGCCTCCCTCCAGCTCTGAGTCCCCTCCGGGCACCGCGTGGGCAGCTCCCAGTGCTGGTGGCTCCCGGGGTACCCGTGCTCTGCCTCTGGCTGGCCACCCAGGCGGGCCCCACGCGGGACCTCCGGCCCAGGGGGCGTCTCAGGTCCCTCCCGCAGCAGGAGCGGGAGGTGACGGCCGTGTTCCCTTCTAGCACCTTCACGCACAACATGCTGGCCTTCGGGCTGAGCAAGACGCTGTGCCGCGAGTTTCTGAAGAAGCAGGCAGTGATCGGCCACCTGGACGAGGGTGAGCCCGGCCCGGCCACCGCCCGGGCACCTGGGGGCGGGGAACCCGGGCGGGTTCGGGTGGCTCCTCTTCTCTCCCAGGCCATGCAGACAGGAAGTCCCCGTGTCTGGAGACGGAGCAGCAGGGTGGGCAGGGGCCTCCTGCTCCCCCGCACAGCGAGGGTTGGGGGTGAACCTGCGCTTGGCGCTCTGAGCCTGATCAAACCCAGCCACCGGTGCCACCTGATGGCCCCCTGTGGTTCTTGAACCCCATCCCTCAGAGCCGTGCAGGGTGGTCACAGCCCTGTTGCAGCAGGGGCAGGGGCACTCTGTCTTCTGGGGTCCCCAGGACATAGGCCACCCCATTCCTAGGCCCACTTGAAACTCGTGCCCGCAGCGTGCTGGTGCCGAGCTGTTCACCAAGCACCCTGTGGCACAGCCCTACCTGGAGGGTGGCAGAGGGCCCACAGTGGCCTGGAGGGTGCCCGTGGCCAGGCCTGGGGGGAGCTGTGGGGCGCCTGTCCTGGCCACCCCCTCTCTTCATGGTGACATCGTCTTCTCTTCCAGAGCAATACAAGCTGCTCAGTGACCACATTGAGCAGATGGCCACTGAATAGGAGACGGAGGGCCTGTGCTAATGTCCAGGGCAGCCACTGGCTGTCCCCACCTCTGACCCTGCATGACACCAGCGGCACCCAGGGCTGCGCCGCGCAGCCCTGGAACTAGCGGTTAGAAGAACCCGGCTGCCGTCCTCCCCTCCCTGCTGCCTGCGTCTGTCCCTTGGGTCACATGGCTACCACGAGGGACCTCTGCACCCTCAGTGCTAGGCTGTGAGTGGAGAGGGCGAAGGAGCCGCCTCCGCGCCCTGCTGAGGGCCAGAGGGGCAGGCTGGGCTCGGAGGTGGACAAGTGTGTGGGCACCTGCAGGGCCGCGAGTGAAGGGTGGGCACCGTGGCTGTGGGACAGTCCTGGAGGCCACAGCAGCTGGGCAGTGGCGTCCTTCCCGGAGGGACGGCCCCACGCTCGTGTCACTGAAGGCAGGGACATTGAAGACTCATGTCATTGAAGCAGCTCCAGCGAGGCTGCGGGCAGTGGGCAGCGTGGACTCTCAGCTCCGAGCTCTGAGCGCAGGCCTCCACCCCACAGCCTCCTCCGGGAGCCGTGGGGACCTCTGCAGCCCAGCCTGGGCCTCCGCATGGCTCTCCCTCCTGCCCTTCGACGCCCTTCAGCCACAGCCAGGACCTGGGCTTCCTCTGCATGTGCCAGGCCACCTGTGGGGACGGAGTGCAAGCCCCAGCGCCCGGCGTGCTGGCCCAAGCCAGCCGTTCCCCGTGTGGACAGCAGCTGGGTTCCCTCTGCCTCTGGCCGCTGCTGTTCTGGCCGCTGACCTTGACGCCAGCCATGGGCTCCTCCTGGGGCCCCTCTTCCCTCATCCCCCTCAGTGCACAGACTGAGCCACGGGCTCCCCCACGAGCACCACTGACCCAGTCTGCTGGTCACCCCTCAGTGCCCAGGATCCTCCCTGCAGGAGCCCCTTCCCCAGCGTCCCGAGCAGACCCTGAGGCTTGAGCTGATGTGGCACATGTCCTGATGTTGGGTGATGATGGCGGGTGGCCCCACGTGCTCTCTGGCGAAGGCTGCCTGCAGGAGGCGGGGGGCCTGGATGCATGCAAACCCCATCTACCCAGCGATGCCACCAGACAGGGCGGGCTGCGGCCACTGTCTGGACGGTGCAGGCTGGTCCCAGCCACCGCGCGTCTCCACAGACTGGAAGAGAGTCGAGCTGGTGAGGGTACAAAGGGACTCTGCCCCGCAGCTACCTGGGAAGCTTCTCTTCTTAGTGTCCCCTCCTGGCTCCAGTGCCAGCCTCCTGTGACGTGCCCTCCTGACGGCCCTCGGTCGCCTGCCGTCGCCAAGCTGCCCTGGAGGAGCCGGCCCCGCCAGGCCCGCAAGGTGACGTGGAGGTCTCTCCCGTGTTGTCACCAGTGTCACTGAACTGCGTGGGCTTCACGGCATCCACGACACCCACCTGTGTGTGGAGAAGGCCAGCCACTCTGACCCTGCGGGCTTCAGAAGCACCCTGAGACCGGCCCCCGTGGGCCCTGGAGCGGCCGCTCGAGGAGGGACATGGACGTGCGACCTCCCTTGATCCTGGTTCTCGCAGACCCGGCTCAGAGCCGGGGTGAGTCTGACTCCGAGGAGCGTCACCCGCTGGGCGTGGCCTCACAGCTCAGCTGGAACAGAGCTGGCCGCTGGGGACGTGGCGGCCCAGTCCCTCAGGGTCTCCCCACTGTCCCCTGCCGACAGCTGGCTTTGGTGAGCAGTTCACTTTCAGGTATCCCTGGCCAGTGTCTCCAGGAGGCCGGTCAGTGTGACCGGAAGGCCTCAGCCGGCCCCCTGAGGCGTCCTCCCCTCCCCTGAGCCTCCTCCCCAGGGCCTGGCCACATGTAATGACTTGGGCGTGACTCGGACACCCTGCTGGGCACCAGGCACTGCAGATGGGCACAGGGGGCGCCTCCTGCTTCCCACGAGGAGCTTCCAGCCCCAGCAGGCCGCGCGTGGGCAGCTGGAGCTTCCAGGGCTGTCGTCAGATTTCCTGCCGCCTGCCTGACCTCCAGGCCACGTGGCTCCTGCTGAGGCAAACAGTGCGAGCAGGACAGTGGGCGACGGGCCAGCACGTCCCTGCCGTGAGGCCGTGCCCGTGTCCAGGAGGGCCGTGCTCAGTCCAGCTTGCAGTCGGCTGTCTGTCGGGGCGGGGGCCTTCGGCTGAGAGCTCAGGACCACGAGAGGACCAGGAGAAGGGCCAGTCTCCATCTGTACATCAGCACCTGATGCTCACGTCCGTCCACAGAACGCGGGGCCTAGAACCAGGCCACAGCGGAGACCCGAGGCCTGTTCAGAGCCAGAGCCACGTCTGCCCAGTGTCCTCCCTGCCCTGAGTGGAGGCGGGGCTGGTGCTACAGCCGCCCGCAGGGCAGAGGGTCTCACGGGGCAGAGGGCTGCAGCTGTGAGGCCTGCTCCGTGGCTGCTCTATGGACACCTGCCACCCAGGAGCACTGGCTGTCCTGGGTTCCTGGTGAGAGGGTCTGGGCTTCCCACCGTGAAGGAGAGTGAAAGATTCCAGCCTGGCGGGCCCTGGAGCTGCCCACCGACCCTCTCGGTCACGCTGACCGTGGCTCTTGAGTCCTCAGGGGTCCAGGCAGGCCCGATGGCCTCACCAGCTCTACACCTGTCACCTGGAATGCTCACGTGGGACACCAGGGAGTCCAGGGCTTTGCCAGGCACAGCGGGCATAGGGGCAGGGTATTTCAAAGCTGGAGAGCCCCTTGTTGTGGGAGAGGGAAGGGACTCTCGGGTGGCAGTGGCCCAGCCTCGGGAGGTCTCTGCAGGCCCCTCCGGCTCCTGGCTCCCCTCGCTCCTCTGCACCCCGCCCAGCTGCCTCCTGCACGTCCTCCAAGCCACTCACCACGGGCAGGTCCTCGGGCTCCGTCTCCTTGAAGAGCTTTGGGTTAGGGGAACCGCACTGGCCGGACGTGCCTGGCGGACTGGTGGCAGTGTTCAAGTGTCCACACCGCCCGGCCGCCTGTCTGTCCTCCCCCTCACGCACTCCTGGGCCTGAACAGGCGGGCGTTGGCGGTCAGAGAGCAGAGGGAGGAGTGCTGTGGGTGGTCCGCACGGCAGGCCCACCCCACCAGGACCGTCCCGCACGGGCTCTGGAGAGGCTTCCTTCTGAGCTCTGTCCCACTTACACCTCTTGGCCTGTGTGTCTGGTGTCCCTGGGGAGGATGGGTCGCCGGACCTTCGTGGGGCCAGCCTGCCCACCGCCAGTGACCAGGCCCGTCCTGGTGCTGTCCTCAGTTCAGCTTCCCTGAACAGTGTCCCTGGCCTGGGCAGGGCTCTGACAGTGTGGGCACCCAGCCCTCCCCTGCAGGGGACAGTGAAGCTCTGGGCACCCTCGGGGCAGAGTCCAGCCTACTTGCTGGGGACTGTCCCTTCCAGCGTCAGTGGACAACCTGAGAAGGTTGGGTCGAACATTCCACCAGCAGGAAGCACGTGTCCCCTTATGACAGCGAGGTCAGGATCCGGCTGACCACAGCCTGACTGCGCCCTGTGCTGCTGCTGGAACCCCGAGGTGGTCACCCTGTGCCCTCATCCCCTTCTGAGTCTGTCCTGGGCCCATTCTGGCCTCTAACCATCTCCTTGGTGGCGACCCCATGACGCCAGTGTTTTCTGTGTTAAGTGGCCTCGTGTCCCACAGGTGATGTCCTAGGAGTATATTTTAAGGTTGAGAAAATTTCAAGGTTGAAGATCTCAAAGCAGCTGAAATCGCAGCTGTTCCCTGGGGAGGAGGAAACATCTGTGTCTGTGTCACACCTCGGACTGTCGGAGGTGAAACGGGAATAAATTATCTTTTTAAAAACGGTGTGATCACGTCTGCGAGCCTGCCCACGAGGACTTTTGGCTGCATTTGCAGTCTTCGCAGTCACGTCAGAGGCCTGGGGCGTAGCTCAGAGGAGGAACACTGGCCTAGCGTGACCTGGACCCTGGCCTCTATCCCTAGCACCAGAAAGAGGGGGGGGGCAGTTAAGGGTCAGGTGGGTGGCTCCGCAGGAGAAACCGACTTCTCCCCAAGGCTGCGCCAAGGGCCAGGAAGAGGAGCAGCCCTGCCCATGGACGGCGTGGCCACTTGGGGTCAGTGATAGAGAATGAAGGTCTGCTCCTGGGCTGGAACCCGGCTGGGCCACGGTATGGCCTCCCATGGAGGGGATCCTAATCCCGCGTCCTCGAATCCCGTCCAACTGTCTCACCTTTGGGGCGGCAGGCTCCATGGCCCGGCACCCACCTAACCCGAGCCCACCCTCCCAGCTGGGCTGCCTGGCTTCCATGGGCAGCCCCTGGTAGCGGCTCCAGTGCTCTGGCCTGGCAGGGGCCCGAGAGCCTGGGCCAGGGAGCACAGCAGGCTGCAGGGACCCCCAGGCCAGCAGCTGGGGTGGGAACCACTCCCCTTGGTGGCTCTGGAGGGCAGGACCCCCAAGTGGACTGGGCACACTCCCTGCCACTTGGGGGCGCTGCCCCTCTCAGCCAGTGTGCAGGGAGGGCCTGGCCAGTGGGGCTGCAGGCCTGGGGTGCCCTGGACCTTTCCCTGTGCCTGGGGGACCCCACCGTCGCAGGGGCAGCCCTGGCTCAGGGGCCAGCTCCAGGGAAAGGCGGCTCCTCTTAGGGCCAGGGCACGGGCAGGGCTGACCGACGGGGAGAGGCCGTGTGTTTCCACCTCCCCAGCAGACCCCGCGCCTCAGCCAGACCTTCGGGGAGCCTGGTGTCTCCACTGCACACAGGGCAGGGCGGGAGAACGTCACCCCCGGGCCCTGTCCTGGGCGAACAGGAGGAGCTCGACCAAGGGCAGAGCTGAGCTGCTCACCGCCCACCCGCCTCCGTGCGGAAGTGGACCCCGAGGGGCTCCGCGGCCAGTGTCCTGCTAAGGAAGGAAAGGGACCCACTTCCCGTCTTGCTTTATGGGAACACATTTATTATTCAAAATTCACAAAACTAAACAAAGAGAACGCGCTCCAGCTTCCAAAGCTGCTTCTCTGCTAGGCCAGGGCATGGCCGCTGCCAGCCCCCTGCGCGGTGTCCCCAGGGCTCCCTCCGGGCCTGCTCTTCAGGCAGCGCTGGGTCAGGCCACAAGCATCTGGCCCCCGGGGGGCACCTCTTCTCTGCCAAAGTGGGGACAAGCACTCTGTTCAGTCCCCTGATTTCATGGGAGGGGACGACAGGGCTTTGTTCCTCCTGTAGGTAGAAACCTGCACAAGTGGCCTTGGGGACGGGGGGGGGGGGGACGGAGAAGGGTCTGTCCTCAGCGACCAGGAGAGAAAACCAACAGTGTGCAGGTAGGACCGGCGCCAAGGACAGAGACTCACCGCGAGGGGCCTCGTCCCCCTTCCCCTCCTGCCCAAGAAAGAGTCTCGGAATTTTATTGCTTCTTTCCAAGTGACCACCCAAGGAGACAGTGACAAGGCGGCCCTTGGCGACCATCCAAGCTGCTCCTAGGAACAATGGGCCTCTCTGCTCGCTGGGCAGAGGGGAAGAGGGAGGCCCCGCTCAGACAGCTCACACTGGTGAGCACCCACTGCGTGCCAGGCGCTGCTCAGCCCTGGGACCACACAGGGCCAGCGCGGCCACCTCCCTCCAGAAACCACGCGTGCAGTGGGGACACGGCGTGGAAGGTGTGTGTGCTCACGGTCCCACAGACGGCGTAGAGCAAGGGGGAAATACACAGTGTGACCACTCCCCGTGCAAAGTCATGCCAAGGACGGCCCACTGTCCACACCTCCTGCCCTGCGGACAGCTGGCGGGCCTCAGTTACCCTGGGAGGGAGCGTCCTGCTGGGCGAGTTGGGCGGCTCCTGCAGGGGTCCAGCAGCGGGACCTCTGGTCGTAAAAGTCACTGTGGTGAGGACGCTGGCCCCACAGTGATCCCAGAGGAAGACGTGTGTCTCCCACTTTGCTGGTGAGCAAGCCGTGGCACCCACGTGGGGGCTCAAACCCAGTGCTGCCCAGCTCAGAGCGGGGCGTTTGCCCACGAGGCCGGCTGGAGGCACCATGGGGCGGGCAGCCCCCAGCCACGGTCTTTGGGGGACTGAGCCATTGGGAGCACAGATGACCCTGATTCCGCACCGTGGCCCCTCACGGTGCAGCCTGGGACACAGCTGGGGGCACTTCCCTCCGGCTCCACGTCCCTGTGGGACATTCAGCCCGTTTGAGATTCTGCTGCCCACAGCATCACGCCGGATTTCAGATGCAGGGCGGGGCTCCGAGGGTGGGGCTGGGACAGGGGAGGTGCCCAGGCTTCAGGCCCTGGGCACACCTGTCCACATGCCGACTCGGTGGTGCATGGCATTCAGAGACACCACCTCGGGTGTGTCGAGAGCCCCAGCCTCACCCGTCACGCCCTTCGGGGAGGGGCAGGCCCCTGGCTGGCCTGGGGAGGGTCAAGGACCAGCAGGCAGCCTCCTGCAGACCGCCACCTCTTCCTGTCACCCCCGAGGCCTGTGGACTTCCATGACGTGTCGTGGTCCCCAGGTCACCCCTACACATCACATCGTGGGTCACAGCTGAACTCGTGCATTGGAGTCTGACCTGGGCAGAGCACGGCGAGCCCGAAACCCGCGGGACGGGAGGCTGTGCACACGGCCCGTGAGGAGGAAGGCTGCCGTCAGGCACGGGCACCACCAGGAAGGGGAAGGGTGGCCGCGGCCTGCCGAAGCTCCTGCTCAGGTCGCCTGCCTGGACCCCAGAGCCGCAGGGTGCAGTCCTGGTGCTTTGGGCCCCTCCCCGGGGCCTGGCACCTGCTGGTCAGCCCCGGGACATGGGTCTGCTGTGCTTCCAATATCAGTGTGGGTGACCTGTCCCCAGATCTGAAGGCAGCGTGTCACGTGGGCCTCACTGAACACCTACTCGGCCCAGGCACAGGCCTCCGTGGGGGTGGGGAGCCGCAGGTGCAGGGCCCACCTGCCCCAGGGCCCGGTCAGCCCCGTCCTCCCACCTGTCCTGGGAATTCTGCCCTAATGACGGGGCCCCTGCTCCTGTCCCCCGAGGTCCTCCTCCACCGAGTCCCCACTCTGCTCCTCTTCTCTCCTCTGGCTGCGCACGGTGCTCTGAGCGCCCTGAACAACAGTGATTGTCACCGTCACCACCCTGGTCGTCACAGAAACAGCCCAACAGATACAAGCCAGTCCCCAGGGCCCGTGCCGCCGCAGTGGCTTGGGAGAAGGCCTGGCTGGGGCTGCTCTCCTCTTCTGCTCTAGGGAGGATGATCCGCAAGCCCGAGCCCCACACCACCACCCCCCCCCCGCCCACCACGGCTCTCAGGACCACGCCTGCCCTGGGGCCCGGGGCCGAACTTATGAAGGTCTCCTGTGAAGGTGCCCAGGGCTGTGAGACGACAGGGGACCTGACTGACTTCTTAGCCCTGCCCCCAGGGGTCAGGACACAGGTGGGGACCTGTCTGCAGTGGACACTCCTCAGAATGCCTCCAGGGGGCGCTCGGGGCACACACTGCCACAGGGAGCCCCCAGCCGGCAAGGGGCGGCGAGTGCCTGTCCCCTTCAAGGCAAAGCCCAGGGCGGATTCGGGACCCAGCGCTGCCCTATGCCCTGGCCTCCGGGTGGCCCCCATCCCGCTCCCTTCACTTTGTCCCGGGCTCCGCTCCCGCCCACACCCAAGTCTCACCTGGCTGCCTGGAGGCCACGGCACACATGGAGAGGGGCTGGCATCCAAGAGGGGCCGGGCCAGGTGATGCCCCGACCCTGCGTGCATCTTGGCCCTAAAATCCTGAGGAAGGACCCGGGCGGGGGGTGAACACAACTGGCCAGCTCAGGGTGGGAGTGGGAAGGCTCCGGCCAGCTCACACCAACGGGGCCCAAGGTCCTAACTGGGCCTTCCTGCCCGTGAGCCCTGGCGACCTTAGCAGGCCCTGAGCGGGTGTTTTCATCTCATCTTGTAGATGGGAAAACTGAGGCCCAGGGAGGCCGGGGAACAGGTCCACAGTCAGGAGGAAGGACGCTGGAAGGCACCTACCTGAGCCTGGAAGAGCCCGTGGAGATTCGAGGTGGCACCAGAGCCTTGGAACTGGGAGGGATCCCCTGCCCTCGAATGCCAGCCACGCTCGGGGCCCACGTCTAACAGAGCGGCAGAAGCTGCCTCCGTGCTGCCCGCATCTCAGGGCACTGCTTGGAGCAGCCGCCATGGGTGAGGGAGCCCACTCCATGTGGGAGCCGAGGTGGGGTCAGCTGCAGCCCAGTGAGGGTCTGGGGGCAGGCCTCGAGGGAGTGTAGCATGTCCCAGGGCCCCTCGCCAGGAGGACACGTGCTCGCTGGGTGCTCTGCCCAGAGCAAGGGCACCGTGACTTCTCAGGCACCGGGCCTGCCGATCGCCTGGCCCTCACCTGCTGATCGCCTGGCCCTCACCTGCCTACCGCCTGGCCCTCACCTGCCGGCTGGCGGGAGCGGCCTGTGCCTGACCGTCATGTGTGCACACAGGCCAGGGAGCCCCATCAGCCTGAGCCACAGAGATGCCAGCATTCAGTGACTGCCTCACAGCCTGCGTGGGCACGTTGTTACAAGAATGCTTCTCTACTCAGGTCCCACCAGGGTGACGGGCACTTGGTACTTCATGGCCAGACGGAGCGTGGGCCGGGAGGCGTGCTGCTGGCTGTCTGAGGTGTTGCGCTGCCCGTCGCGATGACCACATGACATTCCAACGACACCCAGAGGGGGGTGTTTCACCCACCCGGCCCACCTCCGCCGAACACGGGGACACCCACAGAAACAGACTGAGCAGCTGGACAGGTGTCCTAGGAAGGCCCGTGGGCTTTTAGGTCATCAGGACACAGTCAGGACAGCTGCAAAACGCTCCCAGCCGACTGCCCCGTGAAGGCGGAACCCAGGTCACACTCCAGCCCAGCCACCCAGGGACAGCGGGGCTGTGCCCACCTGCAGGTCTCTCTCAGGGCTGTACTTCTCCAGCGTCTGGAAGGCTCTGGAATACACCTCCACCGCCTTGGCATGGAAGACCATCTCGATGGTCACGAAGTCTGAGAAAATCCTCTGTGGGAGGGAAGCCCTGTGACGTCAGCACCCGCGGGGCGGGGGTCCTTCAGGGAATTTCAAGGTCAGTTTTCGTTTATTTGTGTTTGAACTAGATGATGCTGTTGCACGGCTCAAAGTCAGACTGCAGGAAGTCCTCGCTGAGGACACCTGCCCCTTCCTGCCCTTCCCCTCCCCTTCTCTTCCTTGAGATAGAAACTTCCAGAAGGTCCCTGGAGGATGAGCTCTCCTTTGTCCTGGTTACTGGGCTCTCCTGAGGCAGGAAGCTCTCTTCATTCCTGCCTCCCATTGGCCCGTGGGCAACTCTGACTGATTTGACCCCCCCCAGCCCCGGGGCACTTGGCTGGTTTCCAGGTCTGCTGTCGGGGATGCGGCAGTCACAGAGACCCTCCACAGACACCCTTTCATTCCCGGCTGGTCTACCTGTGGGTGAATCCCAGGGGCCCAAGGTCAAAAGCACTGGGGTGGCCATCACACTGCCCATTTGCCCTGCCCCAGAGGGTACTGGACGTGTGGGAGGGCTGGTGATCAGGAGGACCTTCCAGGCCCAGTCCTCAGCCCCGCCTGGCTCACGACGGCCTTCCCCCTCAGCGGGCAGTTGTCTGCAGGCTCCGGCTGCAAGTGGGCCTCCCTGGAGAGCAGGGGGGCTGCAGGGAGACGCCGCCCAGCCTGGAAGCCATGACGACTGACCGTCCAGTTACACTTCTCTGGATCAGCTGGCCCTGGTGGTCTCTGCTGCCCCAGGCCCAGGCTCCTGCAGGGCGGGGCCCAGTGGACAATCCTGCCTGCCCTGGCCCCAGCAGGACACAGCTGAGTGCCGGGGTGGGAGGGGGCTGCTGTTTGAAAGTTCAGGGAGGGGGGAGTGCCACAGTCTGGGGGAGGGAGGGGTCCAGCTGGGCCGGGAACACCTGCCTTCCCGGCCCCCCCCAGGAGGCAGCCCGGCCAACAGCAGCTGTCAGGCTGGAGGCTGGGTCGAAGGCCTCCTTCCCCTCTTGTGGCAGGTGGCCCTGGGGAGCTGGCCTGCCCTCCCCGGCTGTCTGCCTCCCTGCGCAGGGGTGTAGAGTATTCCCAACCTACAGACCCCTGGGAGCCCGGTGGAGCAGCGGTCCACAGAGTGGGCCTCATCCTCAGCAGGGTCACCCAGACCCTCCACTTAGAGTCCCCAGCCGCCCTTTGCCCTGTGGCTAAAGAGCCCTCAGGGGATTTCTGAAGTGCACCCAGGAAGAAGGTCGCAGCCACGGGACCATTTTGTTGGAAAAGTGACCTGAACCCAACTTTACGGTAAAATTAAAGAGCTCAAGTTCTCATTTTGGTCTTTTACAGTTTGGAGAGCTTGGTGGGGTCGGTCTGGATAAGGGTCTCTTGCAAACTTGAGTCTGTCCTTGCGTGCTCCTGCTGACCCCTGGCCGTGGTGCCCACAGAGTCCTGTACCCATCAGGTGCTTCACAGCAGTGGCCGAGTGCCCTGGGCCTGCGGAGCCGGAGCACCGATAGCCAGTTCCACTCACCCGCCCGGTGTCGGTCCTCGCTCATTCACTCCGGCTGGCCAGGACCCAGCAGGGGACACGCCCTGCAGGGAGCGGCCATTTAGCGAGTCCTCCACCCCTGGGTCAGGGCTCACCGCACACCTGGTCACATGACCTGTCTCCTCCCCCAGGGTGCAGCTCCGGGGGCAGGGTCTGGCTGGCTGCTGTGGCACGGTGCCCGGCCACAGGTGTACCCAGCGTCTGTTAAACCAGTGAGCATGTTAAATATGGCACCATCAGCCCGGGAGAGCTGCCCGGGGCGGGGGGGGGTGCCTGCCGGCCTGGGTCCTGGGACCCTCCCCAAGGAGGCAGGTTGGGGCCTCTGAGGGAGGAGGGGGTCACTGTATTTGGTGGGGGTGGGACCTTCTGGAGGGCCACAGCCTGTGCCAGGCCCCGCGGTGACAGTGCTGGCACCCACACGGAGTCCCTGCAGGATGGCACCGCAGACTAGCCCTCCAGGAGCCCCGAGGATTGCGCTCTCTCCTTAGGATGGGGGAGCCCAGCGTGGTCAGCAGGAGAGACAAACCGGACCTGCCCTTTAGAGAGCTGGGGTGGCTATGGCTTGGAAGAGGGACAAGAGGGACAGAGGAGCAAGGGAGCCCATGTCAGCTCATCCCGAAAGACCAGGCCCCGGAGGCCTCTGCAAGGCGGCTCTGGGCCCGGCTTCCGCTGTGCCGGGGTCTGGGGGGGAAGGCACCCGTGGCCACCTCTGCCCTCAGCAGGCTCCGTCCACCCAGCTCTCGGGAGAAGTCAGGCCACCTGGGGGTCAGGGTGCGAGAGGCCGAGGGCGGAGACAGGCTCCAGGGCAGGGAACGGCCTCCTGCCGGCCAGCTGTGCCGGCCTCCTGCCCCTGCGGCCAGGAGGGACGGTCCTGAGAGCCACGTGGCACGGGCCCATATACTCTTGATGCTCACACGCGTGTGCAAACACACACCCACCTGGAGGTCCCTCAGCTTCTGCCTCTGGAAAGCGTCCACCGTCTCCTCCAGCTGGTGGGTGGTGCGGCCAGTGTCCACCGAGGCCCTCTGCACGTTGGTCTCTGCCTGACCGCAGGGTCCAAGAGGCAGAAAGTGTCACAGGTTGGTTCTGGCCCTTAGATGCCCCTCTGGCTGTCCCCAGGCCCCGCAGCCGTCTCTCGGGACAGCGGTCCGCCTCACAGGATCGCCTGACAATGTGGTGATTGAGGGAGTGGCCCAGTAAGACCACGGCTACAGGGGCAGGCACTGGAGGTGGACAGACTGGCTTGTAGCTGTGTGACCTCAGGCGAGCCACTGAACCTCCCTGAGCCTCCATTTTCTCACTTATAAACAGGAGGCCATATAAGACCTGCTCTGCAGGTCTGGTGTGGGAATTGCACAGTGGGCACCCTGAGCTACCAGACAGGTCCTCCACAGTGGGCGACAATTAATTCCTGTGAGCAGAACACTGTGGGTGATCAGATCCTTCACTGCTTGGATGGACATGAACAGACACTAGGCTATGCCACGCCTGGGCACGGAGGACCTGGCTTCCAGAGCCAGCACTGCTGGGACTGAGCCTGAGGGTGGCCCAGGATTGCCGGGTGAAGTGCGGGGGTGACGGGCCAGGCTGGAGCCACGTGGGCTACTCAGGACTCCTCCCCAGGGTCTCAGCCCCGGCCTTAGCCCTCAGGAGGGTGGCCCCCAGGGTGCCCACATCCCGACCCTGGGCCCTGTGGACACGTCTCCTTGCACAGTGAAGGTGAGATCAAGGTCACAACTGCAGCTCCTCCCCAGATGGTGACTCGGGGTGGTCCCAGGACGAGGGGCGGTGGGGAGGAGGGCCAAGGGGCTGTGACCACAGGAGAAAGGACACGGACATGGGGGGGGCACAAGCCAAGGGACCCGGGGCTTCTGGGCACTGTGCAGTCCAGGACTGGGGTCCCCCTGGCCCTGTGCCCATCTCCGCAGCCAGGGCACAGTAAGGAGGGCGTTTGTGCCAGTTCAGCTGGGACATCTGAGGCCACTTGTCACCGCAGCAGGGATCTACCTCATGCAGAGACCCTCCAGTCCCACCCACCAAATGCCTCCCCAGAAAAATGTCCTTGGGGGTCAATGGCCCGGGGGGTGGGGGATCCGACTTGCACCCATCATAGGGGTCTTGCGAGGTCACTCACTTGGTGACAAGAAGGGCACGTGTGGCCAGCCCTCCACCAGCCCTGGCCGACCCCGTCTTCTCCACCAGGCAGGGCGGGGCAACAGAGGGCGCCTGGTGTCCCTCCGCCTGGCTGGGCCCTGCGGCTCTGGCCCCTGATGCTGACCCCTGCACGGCCGGCCTCTGCCCAGGTGAGGCTCACCTGTGCTTCCCGAGGTCTTCCACTATCTGCCTGCGATTCTGCCCACCCGGCTCACGAGCGACACTCACCTGGGACTGAGAAGGGGCAGTTAAGGAGCCAAGGGGAGGTCCAGCAGCCCCTGGGGTGGCCACCCCTTGCAGCCCCTGCCCGGCAGGCCCAGGGCGCAGAAGACCCCAGTGGGCGCCTGGGTCCTGCCTGAGCCCCAGGCCGGCGCCGAGGAAGGATACGATCATCTGCCGGTCGGAGGGGGACTTCCGCCTGAGCTTCTCCAGTTTCTCCAGTTGTTTGATCTCATTTTTTTGGACACGTTTGAATTTCTTGATCTCGGCCTAAAAAAAGTCGAGGGTGTTTCCCGGGGCCCTGAGGGCCAGCCCCACCCGCCGCAGGGGGCCCTGGCTCACCCGGGTCTGCTTGATCTGGGCGCCGTACAGCTTCAAGGGCATGACCACCTTGGTCTCCAGCCTCTCGACCTGGGGAGCAGGTGGCCATCAGAGCCAGACACTGGCCACCCTGGCTGGCGTTTGTGGAGTGCCGTCTGCACCCCAGAGCTGCCTGGGGTGACACCCCCACCTTCTGAGGGCAGTGAGCACCGCCAGGGCTGGGGACCGGCCCCGCCACCAAGGATTCTGCAGTGTGGCTGGTCCCACTGTGCCCTGTCCTCACCAGTGAAATGACTGGCCCCCAGGACTCTATGGCAGGTCAGTGGATGGGGAGGCCCTCAGGAAGACCAAGCCTGACGTGGAAGTCACGAGGGTGCCCATCGGGCAGGGGCCAGAGGCCACAGCTGTCCCCCATCTCTGCACCACTGCGCAGGTGGCAAGGAGCCTCGTGTTGGGGACAGAACTTATGCTGAGAGTCAAGGCTCGGAAGAGAGAGGACGTCAGTACAGCTCTTTCCTACGCCAGGGCCCAGTGTGATTTCAGATCCCCAAACTGCCTCGGGGGCTCTGGCCACGTGGGAGGGCAGGAAGCGTGGAGACACAGGGTCCGCCGCGCAGCCGCTCAGTACGCAGCGAGGTGGCCGGGGACACGAAGGCAGGTGCGTGGAGACCACCCCACTGTCCCTGCTCTGTCCAGGGCTGGAAACTGCAGCCTCCTCCACAAGGGCCGAGCAGGAAGGACAGGGGGAGGGGAGCAGGGGTCACCCCAGCCAGAGCCCGGAGCCCGGCCCGCGGCTAAGTGTGGGATGGACACTGCTGGGGTCACAAGCAGCAGGGGGTGGGGTCAGGGTGGGCACAGGAGCCCCCGGGGGCCACCCTGATTCAGGAGGCCCCGTGGCCTGGGGGATTACAGCGGAGGCAGCGGGTGGCGGCAGGAATCGCCGGCCTGCCATCTCAGTCCCCAGCACCGGAGCTCACGGCCCCTCGAAAGCCAGGCTTGCCCGATGGCCAGAGGCGTCAAATCCCCACCGAGCCTCAGCCCCGCCAGCCCTTCTGACCGTCGGTGGGGCGAACACCAGTCTGAAAGGACTTCTTTCCCAAGCGCCACGAGGGACGGACTCCCCTGCCCCTCCATGCAGCGGCCAGTCCTCTCTCTGTGTCTTTGAGACGCCTGCGGAGCTTGACAGACTGAGTGGACACCCTCCAAGCTAGATGACGTCCTCCTCCAGGCCTGGAGCGTCTCTGCTGCAGAACCGCTGGGGGGGGGCAGTGCCCTACTGTGGCCCGGCTCGGGGCGCGTGGGCTTGGGGCGCGTGGGCTCCAGGAGCTTGGCCCCGGGCTCCGGGTCCGGCCTCCCTGCTCTTTTCCCCTGGATAGGGACAGTGGTCCAGGCGCTGCCCGGCTGCCAGGTGAAGTCAGACAGGCTGGTGAGAAGCCCGCAGCCAGCGCTCTCCTGGGGACAGTCTGCATGTGTCCTCAGAACACTCTGCAGGGAGCTGCATTTGCCGGGCCTCGTCACCCACAGGCCCCTCTGTCCTCGCGGCCCAGGACGAGTCCTCTGGCTCCGCCAACAGAAACCTTCCCTGCATAAACCTTCTCGCGCTGTCCACGGCTCACGAGAGCCCCTGGGTGGCAGAGTCTCCTTCCCAGATACCCGCTGGCCGCCTTGGCCCTCTGTCCCCCGGGACTTCTGTCCCTTCTCCAGGCCCTGGGGCCCCGGGCCTGGCTTCCAGGACCCCTGGCTCAGCCCTTGTGCACCTCAGCCCTCGCCCTGAAAGCTGTGTGGCCCGGGCAGGGGATGGTGCAGTGTCCAGTCCTGGGGACGCCTCAGGAGGCACCAAGCCGTCAGGTCCCAGCCCTCACTCCTGACCTTGGCCACAGGCCGGGACCCCTCACCTCGGCCTGCCGGTAGTCCTGCACTTGGGCCAGGTCCTCCGCGAAGTCCCTCACGGCGGCCCGCATCTCGGGACTCTCGGTGTTGGCGAAGTCGACCAGCTGCTTGACCAGCTGGTCGGCCTTGTCCCGCAGCCGGGCCGTCTTGCGAGTGTAGGCGGCCAGCAGCAAGCAGAACTGCCCGAAGTACCTTTCAGCATTGGTCACCGCGCTGTCCATCAGCCTCACCTGGCTGTCCCTGGGGAGGCAGGGCCCGAGGGGCTGTGCTGGGCGGCAATGCCCGGCGGGGCCAGGGCGGCACCCCTGTGCACCAGGACCAGACTAGGGTCACGGTCACAGGAGCCACCGCAGCCTGTCCCTCCTGTGAGGCCAGCGCCATCCAGGCACCAGGCCCAGCGTGGCGCTCGGGGGCAGCAGGCCCAGGGAGGAATGAGACCCGCCTGTCCACCCAGCCGGTCAGCAGGGCCAGGGATGCCAACGGGCTTGCTCCCGACTGGCCCTGCCCTGGGCCCTCGAGGGGCTGTGCCCTGGGGCACCCTCTGCGCCCAGGCCTGGCTAGGGGCCTCGTCCCCACCCGGGTCCCAGGCTTCCTCTCCCTTCTCTGAACCCTACTGGGGGGGGTCTGCTTTTTGGTTTTTGATTTTTGCTTCCCTGCCCACCCAGCCTCCTCCCCGGCCAGGCCCGCTGGCCACAGCGTGGGGCCACAGGGCACAGCATGTGGACATGGCCCACAGCAGGCGTGAGGCGTCACCCAGGCGCTGCAAGCTCCTCGGGGTCCAAGATGCGCAGAGGGGCGTCCCTGTCACAGCGTCAGGTGGCACAGTCTCTGCCCTCGTCCCCTGCCCCGCCCCGGAACGTCTCCTTGTCTGGCCTCGCTGACGGCCCTCTCCTTGTTGTCCCTGTGCCCACCAGGCGCTGGGGCCCCTCCGCCCTCCCACCTCCCTCCAGCTGCTTCCCTGTCCCCTCTGTCCAGGCTGCCCCTCTGTGTCCCTCCAGCCATGCCCGGAAGCCCCAGCCCCCAGGAGCAGCCTGCAACCCCCGAGTCCGAGCTCCCAAGTGCCCTGCTAGGGTCACCCTGTAACTAAGGTGCCACCGTCACCACTTCAAAATCAAGGGCGCTGAGGCCAAGGGACAAAGGACCCGCTAGAGGTCACAAGGGGCTGCAGCTTCTTGTCTTCCAGGTGTGACCCTGGGCCTCCAGCTGGGCGCCACCTAGGACAAGCTAGAGGTGCCACCCCTGGGCCCGCTGGGTGGGCGGGTCAGATCCTGAGCAAGGCTGGAGGTTCCAAGAGGCCCACAGGGCGGGTCCCCGGAGGCCAGAGGGAAAGGGAGGCCAGTGGGGGAGGGGGTGGCAGGGCCAGTGGGGTCCAGTGGGGGCTGGAGGCAGGAAGAGGTCTAGGTGGGGAAGAGTGAGGGACACAGCGGACAGACATTGTGAACCCGGCTGCCCAGGTCTACAGAGCGCAGCGGGAAGCAGACCGAGGTGGGGTCTGGAGCCTCCATGGTCAGCAGCCCTGCCTGCCCTGGGCTCCGGGGAGGGGGGAGGGAGGCCCCCCCAGCAGCCCCCACTCCCCTCCTCTTCCAGGGCCTCAGGACCTGAGCAGCACCCTCTGTCCCCTCCCTGCCGGCCCAGCGCAGGCCACTCACCTGGAGAAGATGATGTTCATTCTGACCGGCGCCTGCTGTCCTATCTCTGGGAATGAGGATGGGCCCCAGGGGTCCCCCAGGCCCAAGAGAAGCCAGGCAGGCCTGGGCGCAGCTGTGGGGCCTGGGCTCCAGGGACGCTGCTACCTGGTTGCCAGGTGACGTGGCCACCCAGCAGGCCCTGGGAGCAGTCGCGACCGGTCGCCTGGCAACCCCTCCCTAGGGGCCAGCTTCCCAGCTGGCATGGGCGGGGGCTGCCCACTGCCCGGAAGATGGGGGCTCGTGGCTGAGCTGTTGAGTTCCCCGGGAGGCTGCAGGACCCCTGTTTGTGGGGTCAAGGGGGCCAGGACCTTTCCTACTTGCTGGCCTTCCCCAGGGGTCATACTCAGGGGGGCGGGGTCTGAGGACACTGGTCACTCGGGAGGGTGTGTGAGAAAGAGCACGGGGGAGGTTTGGGGGCCCTGAGGTCCCAGATGGACGTGGGGGGACAGGAAGGCGCTGGCCGGGTGCCACGGGTCCAGGGTTCCCTCGTTCTAAGTGGGGTCTACTCGTCGCGCAGACTTGAGTGCAGTGCAGAGGACGGTCCACGGGGACCATCCACGGGGTCCAGGCACTGCAACACGTGTCCACTTTGCTTAAAAGAAAGCGAAACATCAGCAATGGCGGGAGCTGGCGGAGTGGGGTGCAGGAGGGGGAGGCCGCACCGCCCCCCAGCAGCTCCTGTCCTTGGTGGGTCAGGTCCCCGTGACGGGGGAGGGTTACGATCACGCAGAAGGAGGGGCCCTAGGGTCAGCGGCACAGAGGCTCAAGTCCCAGAGCCCCGCTGCGGGCTCCTGGTCAGCTCCCTGTGCACCCCTGGCTGGGCCGCCTCGCTGGCCCCACGGTCCCTCTCCCCTTCTCAGCTCCCTTTACTTTTGGGGACTGTGCTGGGCAGAACAGTGTCCCCCCAAAAGGCATGTCCACCCCAGGCCTCTGAACATGACCTTATTTGGAAACAGGGTCTCTGCAGAAGGGAGGGGCCCTGGTGAGTCATCTGGAGCAGGGGCCCCTGTGCAGGGACATGTCCTTATAAGCAGAGGAAGCACCGCTGTCCAGGGGAGGCCATGTGACCGCAGCAGCGGAGCCTGGAGCCCGGAGCTGGCAGGCGGCACCACCAGGGATCCGGAGCCGCGGAGGAGGGGAGGCGCCTCCCGAGAGGCTGCGGAGGAGCACATTGCCCTCACCTCCCGTCAGACTCCGGTGCCTGGACAGGGGCGAAGGCCCACCCGTGGCCTGAAGTGCCCCATTTGGGGTGAGTTTGTGACGCAGACACAGGACAAAGAAGGCAAACCACCCACAGCCCCGCCCGCTCTGCCCGGGGCTGCAGGGGCCACCTGCCCCTTCTACACTCGGCCCCTCACAGGGACGCCTGCCCTAGGTGTGTGGACTGCCCAAGTGCAGGTCCAGCTCCCAGGATCCAGGGCTCTGTCTGGGCCTCTGAGCACCAAGGACCTGCGGGGTGCCCCTGCGCCAGCCTGGAGGGAGTCCTCCATGTCACATGAGCCGCCACCTAAAGTCAGTCTCTTTCTGTGTCCTGGGGGCTCTCCCTGGACGCCGCAGCTTCTCAGGCCAAGGACAGACTGCGGGGCCCATCCACGCGGGGCAGGGTCTGCACCGCAGCGGAGACCACGAGGCAGCTGAGGACCACGGGGTGGCAGAGACCCTCGTCCTGGACCTTCCTACCATACAGGGCTGTGGGACACCCAGTGGGGAGAGGGCAGGTCACCAGGTCTCAGACCCTTTAGGAGCATCATGAAAGCCGCTTCCTGTGCCCAGCATAGAGGGAGACACCTGGTGGTCAGAGCGGGGAAGGCTGGGCCCAAGGGTGGTGGACCCACGAGCTCCTGGCCAGGCCACAGGGGGCCCTCTGGGCTCCCTCCTCTCCCCCTCTCTGGCTATAAATGTCCCCTGCTGAGCCCACATGAGAGTGTCCAGCAGGCCTGGGATGGACTAGGCCGCTCCTGCAAGCCGCACTCTTGCAGGGAAACAAGAGGCAGTCACGTCTGCCAGGGACACCGGCATCCCGGCTGGCTTCTTCCCAGGTCCAGGGCCACGCAGCGCCTGCCCTTCCACCCCAACCAGGCTCCTTGAGCCGGGCACCGTCCCGGACTCTGAGGACACCGACTCCAGGTGGCCACTGTTCCCTTTGGAACAAGCTCAATTGGGCAGGAGTCACAGTGGGCTCCTGCCCGCCCAGGGCCCACCGCACGCTGCACCCGGTGTCGCTCTCATTTTCTGAACCATGAGCGCGAGTTGCAGACCATGCCCAACCCAGGGGCTCCCACTGCCCCGACACCACCCAGGAGACGCCACGGTCAGAAAGTGGCACCATGACTGTCCACCCCTCCTGCCCCGCCCCTCGCTGCCCCCTGCCCCTGCCCAGCTCCAGCCCCTGTCCCCCTGCCCCGCCCCCTGCCCCCTGTCCCCTGCCCCTGCTGCGCCCCTCCCCTTGCACCTGCCCCACCCCCTCCCCAGTGTGCAGGACGGAGGCCGCCGCCCCGACTCAGGCAGGGGACCCCACTCAGGGCTGCTGCCCACAATTGGCAGTGGCTTCGTGACCGTGCACGGGCCTGGTGTTTTGGGGAGTCACCTGCAGGGGCCGCGGGCTTGCGGAGAGGCCCTGGTGGGCGGGGCCACCAGCTGCCCTGTCCCCAGCCTGCCCTGCTCCGGCCCCCAGCCTTCCAGAGCCGCCCGACCCGTGGCGTTTGGAGGCTGCCCGGTTTCTTTATGGCTTGTGGTAGGCAGAGTGACTGTCCCCCAGGGCGTCCCTGTCTGTTCGAAGACCAGCTGACAGGGGGCCTCGTGGCAGGCTGGAGGCCCTGAGGTGTGACTGGGTCAGGGTCAGGAGGTGGGGGTGGTCCCGGATCCCAGGGGCCCGTGTCTTCACAGGGTCCTTCGGTCAGGTCAGGGGAGACGTGAAGAGGGACACGGGGTGGAGGGGCCCAGGGCCCTTTGAAGGAGGCTGCGGCAGCAGCTGAGGATCGAGGACCGTGGCACCTGTGGGAGCTTCCTGCCGCCCTGAGCGGGGGGCTTCCCACTTCTGACCCCAGGTAGAGGACGCAGCGAGGTGCCACGGAGCCCCTGCCCCAGCCCATGGCCCGTTTTCAACATTGCTGAGGCCAGCCTCAGCCATGTATGATCCTCCTACCTCAGCCTCCAGAGTTGTTGGGATTGCAGGCCTGCGCCCCTGAGCCGAGCCCGCGAGATGGTGTAGGCCTCTTGGTGGGTGTGTCCACCTGTCACAGCAGCCTCTGGAAACCTTGGCTGATTCAGAGTCTGGCCACTTGGCCGCTCGGGTCCCATCCCTCTGCAGGGCTGGTCACAGTGGCTACCTTGGAGGAGGAAGACCCCCCACACACACACTGTGTGGCTTCACAGGGCCGGTGACATGAGTTCCTTGCGTCTGTCTCCAAGTGAGGACAGAGCCTGTGGCCAAGGGACTAGGGTCGGGGTTGGCACAGAAGCCGCGGCCCTGCGCGCTGGCCCTGACCTCACTGCCCGGGTATTAAAACCCAGCGACTGGGGAAGCGGCGGCCCTGACGGCCTCGTGGTGAGGAGGAGACGCTTCCCGGGGTGCCCCGCGGTGGCCTTGATCCACAGGGAGAAAGGGAGGAAAAGCCCGGGGCGGACGGTCGGCCAGGCTGGCTGCAGGCTCTGCCCCGGGCTCTGCTGGGTCCTGCTCCGTCCTGCCTGGGGCTGCGCTGTCCTGGGCGCAGGCCCCCTGCTGCCCGGGCTCCAGGCCTCAGCTTCCTCCCCGGGACCTGGGACAGCCAGACCCCCCTTCCTCACGGAGCAGTCGGGGAAGACGGCCTGGGCAAGGCCTGTCCCTGCAGCTGCGTGGCCACGGGCGGTGTCGTTGCCGTCCAGCCCCTGCCCTGGGGCCGCGGGCCTGGCCGGGTGGCCCGGTGCGGGGCGGGAGGACGGGGTGTGAGGCGGAGCGGGGAAGCTGCCCGACCGCTGCCCGCCCTGCAGGGGACCGGCTCTGCGAAGCTTTGTCTTCTAAACAGTGGGCGCCGCGCTGCGTGCTCTCCCTGCACAGCGTTGGCACCGTGGGCACAGGGAGCTGGCGGTGCCGTCTCCGCCCCTGCCCCACCTCAGGACCAGGCCCCCACCAGGGCAGCCACAGTGAGGACCCCGTCCAGCCCAGGACCGAGTCCTGAGCAACCAGAAGCAGCCCACGAGAATCTGCAAACCCAGGACATCCACCCTGCGGGGCCGCGCCTTCCCCAGCGCCCAGCATCTGCAGAACTCAAGGCCCAGCCCCCAGGGCCCGCCTGCCAGGGAGGCCAGCCTTCCAGGGAGGCCCGCCTCCGCCCACGGGACAGCCGCCCCCTCCCTGGGGTTTGATGAGCTGCAGCCCTGGGCCCCAGGGTCAGGCCTGTGCCCTGCAGGCCATGGGTCTGGAGTGCCTCCCCTGGACGTCGTGTGCCCAGGGGTGGAGCCTGCTAGGAAGTCCAGGTGGAGAGCAGGGGGCGCCTGGCATGGGGTGAGGAGGCCCAGGGCGTGGATGTGGGGACACCAGCGCCCACAGGGGAGTCACCTCGCAAGCCGCTCTGCTGCTGGAGAGGAAAGGACAGCCCTGTAGCCAGGCCAGGCCCCGGGTCCACCCAGGGCCACCGGAGCACACTCACGGGGAGGCTCGTGGGCAGATGTACCCATCAGTGGCCTCCAGGTCCGCTGAGGGTAGAGTGCCCAAGGCCAGCTGCCCCGGTGGCTGAGCGGGGTGCGTCTTTCCTCAGATGCCATCAGCCACCGGGAGGGACAGCACCAGGCAGCCACTCTGGAAGGACCCATGTGTCCCCGTGAGGTGCAGGGCCTGGTCAGCTGGGCCTGGAGGGAGGAGAGAGAGCCCGGCGAGCCCTGGGGCCCAGGTCCTGTCCGGGTGGCGAGGTGCTCTGGAGGAGAGGCAGGAACGGTCGCGCACAGCTGTGAGTCCACTGAAGCCACCAAACCCGGCACGAAGACGGTGGAACTCAGCCACACAGTGCCACGCCTGTATCCTCGACCTCAGGAGGCTGAGGCAGGAGGACTGCAAGTTCAAAGCCAGCCTCGAGAAGACCCTGTCTCAAATAAAAAGGTAAAGGATGTGGCCCAGTGGTAAAGCACCGAGGTTCAATCCCCAGCGACTTTCCACCCTCCCAGGAGTTCTGGGTCATCTAGAGGACGGGGCCTCCGCAGCGGGCGTCTGCAAACCCCACGCCCCTCACGTCCACCAGGGACTTGGGCGTCTGCAGCTCCTGGTACCTGGGAGACCTGGAACCTGCCCCCTTCAGACGCGGAGCAGCCACTGCAATATTGATGTGCTTTAAGCTCATCAGGCTTTGAAGCCAGCAATTTGACCCCCTCCTCAAGATCTTACTGCTGAGGGTCACTTTGGGGGCTCTGGGCTGACCAGAGAGGGCACTGGTGTAAAAAAACAAAACAAAACAAAACAAAACAGCCTTTCACGGTTGCAGGAAATCTGACACGGCCACCTTTTTGCTTCTCTCCAGATGTCTCCGTGCCACCCAATCCTGCCTGCAAGGCCATCTCTTTCTGGACACTCTCAGTTTCATTGTATAGTCTTTTAATGAAAAGGAACGGGAAGGTACTGTTGGGCAGGTTGTTCACTGTGTAAGTGCATTGATTGAACACCAAACCTTGCTGAGTCCCCACCGCCCCCCCCCCCACCGTCCTACTTGAGCCCTGTTCACCCTCATCCTGTCCCTTTGGTGGGAGTCGGTGTCCTTGGCTCCTGCAGGCAAGAGTCCTGGAGCGCTCATGGCTCCCCAGGGTTCACAGCTGCAGCGGGACCCCGGGGCAGAAAGCAGGCCCCCCACACCAGGCACCCAGATCCTGTGGGTGGCGGAGGTGTGGCTGTCAGAAGACCAGGGCGCACCCAGGGCAGGGCTTCTCCTCGTGCCAGCTGCCCTGTCCTTATCTGTGACGCGGGCAGGAACGGCCTTTCCAGAGTGGCCACAGGGTTGAACCACAGTCACGCGGTGTCGGGCGCTGGCCCCTAGGAGGAGTCCCAGGGGCAGGCCACAGCTCCGCACGGTCAGCGTGGCCGAGGGCTGCCCTCCCCACCGGCCCCCTGGCCCGCGTGATGTCCCCAGCTGTCCCCAGGCCCGACCCGTGGGCAGTAACGTCTTCTGAACACAGGAATGCGCGGGGTCCTCGGTGGCGGGCAGAGCCTGGGGAGTGGGTCCTGGCATCCGCAGGCCCTTCCCAGAGGAGGCCACGGCCAGGTGCCCTGGGCAGGGTCTTCTCCTGGGTGGTCCGACCTGGAGTCGATGGCACAGAGCCCAGAAAGCAAGGCCAGGGCTGGGCCCGGCGCCGGGCCTGCCCCACCTGGCCCCGTCCGTCTGTCCTGGGAGCTGCTTGCCGTCCCCGGGGACCGTCCCCTGCGCTGCCCTGGCATCCCCGCCCGGTTCTCAAGTTACCTCCATTCACAACAGCGGATCCAGACCGTGAGACCTGGAGCCAGCCTCGGAGGAAGGGGTGGGAAATGTGGTCAGGGAGCGAGGGAGCCGGGCTGGGCGGGAAGTCACCCCCCACCCCGCCACCCACACGTGCCCTTCAGGGGCCAGCTGGGGGCCTTCCCATCTGTGTAGGGCCTTCTGGGCCCAGGGCTGACCCTTCTGTGCCAGGCAGGCAGTGGGGTTGAGCCAGAGACGCAGAGATTCAGGGGCAGGAGCCCTAATTAACAGCTACTCTGTGCTTCCCTCTGGACCAGGGTCACCAGGTACTGTTGGGCAGGTTACCTACTCTGCAAGGGTGCCTGGCTCCCTCTAGTGAGCCTGGCCTGGGGGTCATCTTTCTCACGATATTCACTGCAGGACTAGGCATCCTGGCTCCTGCATGGTGACTTCTAATGTGCCTAAGATGGCCCTGGGCCCAGTGTGACCGCCTCGTTCTCCGTAGAGATCGGCCCCTGTTGGTGGACAATGGTAACCTGGCGCTCCCGGCTCCTGACCATTGGCTGTGCCTGGACAGATCCAGGGACACTGTGCGCAAAGCCCCTTCCCCCCCACAGGCACTCGGTCTCACACAAAGTGGCACCTAGGAAACGGCATAGAACACGCATATCCTGTGACGATCGTCACTGAGTCCAGAGGGACCCGTGCTGCCGGGGCACAGGGCCAGCGCAGGAAGCCACATGTCCCCAGGCACACAACAGGGGCTGAGGGGCGTGTGCAGAGGCCCCCGGCGGCCAGGCCCCTCAGATGCCCCTGCCAGAGGCCAGGCTCCGGGCGGATCCTGGGTGACCTCGGAGCTGGGTCTAAAGTCCACTCCTTGACTGGGCCCTTGGGAAATGGCCTCATTGCTGGGGCCTCGGTGTCCTCGCCTGCAGACGGGCTTTGCCATGCGGGGTGACCGGCTCTCGATGCCCTCGGGGAGCGCGTGGGCGCACTGTGCCAGCCCCGCGGTGGCTCCTGGCGGCTCTGGCCCACGTGCCAGCGTCTGGCTCCTGCTCGGGGACCTGCTCCCTCCTGCCGCGGGGCGGGTCATGAATACTGGCCCAGACTTGACGTCAGCACAAACAGCCTAATTGGTCCTGGAGCCTGGGCCCGGAGCGCGCTGAGCCGCGGGTCCGGGAGGTGAAGGCCGCCTTCACTCGGGTTGAAGCGCAGCCTTTCTCCTCCGCGGAGTCTGGCTGCAGCCCTGGCCCCGGGGCTGGCCGCGCAGAGACCCGATTATGGCTTCCTTAGGGGAAGGAGAGGGGCGCGAGTGTGCAATCCTCCCGCGGCCAAGAGGGGGCGGGAGCCAGTGAAGGAGGAGCCGGACTTTCCCCTGGAGGCCGCCGCGGGTCCACCCGGGGCGTCCTGCCCGTCCCGGTGTCCAGCTGCTGGAGAGGGTCCAGCGTGGCGGGTTCCGCAGGTCTCGCTCCTTGGCACACTGTGTGTCGCCTGCGAGAAGCGGGAGGCGGCGGCGGGGAGGGAGGGAGGAGGCTGCGGCTAGAACATTCTGCAGCCTGAAAGCCAAAAACCTCCAAGAGAAACATTCTGCACTTCCAGGCTGCGGGGGGGGGGGGGGGGGGGGGGGAGGATTTCCTCCGGGCAGTTCTGGGGGGCCTGGGGGGGCCCACTCTGGCGGCACTTCTGCAGCAGGATGGAGGGGGCGGGGGCAGGAAACGGGGTCCAGACTCCGGGCAGCACCAAATTTGGAGAAGCTCAGGGGGAGGTTTCAGGCCAGGCAGGAGCAGCGGCGGTGACCACAGGGTCCCCCGCCAGCCGTCCTGGGGGTGGCCGCTGCTTCTCAGGTGGGTAAACCGAGGCACTGAGCTGCCCCCCCCCCCCCCGCTGCTTGGCCGAGGGAGTTTCCAGAGCAGCTGAGGTCAGGGACAGTGGGCACGGACTCCACTGGGTGTCACAGAGGCACCCGGCCTGCCCGCACACGCCGCCCAGGTGACGGGCACAGGGACAGTCTCCCAGAGGCCAGCTCTCCTCCAGGTCTCAGGGACGGTGGGCCAGGAACAGCGTCCTTCTGTGGAAGTTAAACAGTCAACACAAAATAATAGAGGTTCAGAGGTCGGGACCTGCCGCAGCCATCAGCACGAGGCCTCGAGCTGACTCCCAGGGCAGGCCCTCGGCCGCCCGGCTGGGCGCAGAGCTCTGGCTGACGTGCGTGAGGCAGGACTCTCCCCTCGCACTTCGAGGGACACCCACATGCTCAATGTGCCAGCAGCCCATCGCCTGAGCCCCCACACAGAGGTTTCCTAGATGATAGCAACGTCACCGTGTGGATGGTGTCCCCTTGGATGTGACCTCACTGTGCAGTGTGCAACCTAGACCACTGAGCCAAGTTACCCTGAAGAGTAACTGGATTTGAACTCGCCTCTCCAGAGCTCGGGCACCGCCTCCTTCGTGCCCTGGCTTCATTGCCACGATTTGTCCCTACGAAGGTCCCTAAGCACCGGGCTAAGAGCGCGGGTGGGTCAGATGGGGTGCGACTGCCCACCCGAGTGCCCTCCCTGGCGGAGGGGCTCTGGACCCTTGCAGGGGTTTTGTGGAGCAGACCTGGGGGTCAGCGGAGCTGGGGGTGCGCAGCCGGGAGGCAGCGGGAGGCCGAGGGGGGAGGCTTGGCTGCCTTGTTGGCCTGTGCCCCCTTCTCTAACAGGGAGGCTGGTGCGCTGGCGCGTGCGGCTTATCCCACAACTCCCCCGGGTCTGCAGGTCTGCGGTGCTGACCTCCCCTGGGGGACTCTGAGTCCCCTCCTGCCCCCAGGCCCAGCCTCAGGGCCACCTTTTCTGGGACACCCTTGGCCACGCCTGCGGTCCCTTTGCCGAGGTCTGGCCCGGATGGGTCTGGTGGCGCCCAAGCGCAGGGCCACAGAGTCGGTCTCAGCAGGGGACTTCCCGGTCATCGCAGGGGTGATCGTGACGCCACCCCACGAGCAGGTGGCCCATGGTTTGACAGTGCCGCCTCCACGTGCTGCCCTGGAAGGGCTCGGTGGCCTCAGCAGCCCCCTCCCGCCTCCCTCCTCGGCCCTGCATTGCCCACTTGCCCCTGCGCTTCCACCCTCACCTGTCCCGAGGACCCCGACCTCTGGGCCTTTGCACACGCTGATCCCCTTCATGGCTCAGCCCGGCCAACTCCCGGCCTGGCCAGCCTCGGCCTCCTACCTCCCTGGGGCTTCCCAGGTCCCCGAGCCTGGGTCAGGAGCCCCTCCTGGGGGGTGCTCGTCAGCCCCGCAACTCCGCCTGAGCCGCCCGCCCTCTTGTTGGTGACCTCAGCTCTGGGGGCCAGGACCGCACAGGACTGTACCACTCTCTCCCCAGGATGCAGGACCCCCACACCGGGGCCTGGCACACGGTGGGCATGTCCACCCCCCTCCCCGCCCAGAGCCAGGCTCAGGGAGGGGGCAGCTGGAGGCCACCCTGGGAAGGCACGCCCGAGAGTGAGGGACGGAGTCTGTTCCCACGGCCCCTCACGGTGACCGTGTGATGGCCACGGCCAGAACCTCCTGCCATCAGGGACAATGCTTGGCCCTCAGTGCAGGAGGACAGCCCGGGGCTCTGGAGGCCGGGAGGTCCTGCCAAGGCCCTGGCCCTCTGCCTGCGGAGACTGTGGGGGGGGGCACCTGGCGACTGTCCTCAGCTGCCCGCCCGGCCTTTCCTGCGGCTGTCCCCCTCCTCAGGCCCGCCCTGCCGGCAGGGACCTCCGCTCTCTGCCCCCAGTCTCCCAGGGCTGCTCCCCCGGGCGGAGGATGAGGGTGGCTTCGGGGACCGTGGCCCCCGCTGGCAGGAGAGCCACGTGTGCCCGTCACTGACCCCGAAGGCTTTCCCCCTGACGAGAGTCGTGTCCCCACTTCATATCGGGGACTGAGGCTCCTCGAGGCCGGCATCCTGACCCACTGGACCAGGCCTCAGCCGAGTCTCCCGGGTCACCAGGACCAGGCTGAGCCCAGGAGTGGCCACTCTCGGCCAGTGGTCTTGCTGTGGCTTCTGCCACCTGGTCCCACTGCCCCCGCGGTGGTAGCCCCAGGCTGGGGAGGGGCAGGCGCTGTGGTGGTTCAGGGGATCAGGGACGCGACCTTCCCCACCCCGACGGCTGCGCTCTCAGAGGTGAGAGGCCGTGACGTCCCCGCAGTCCCCCAGGAAGGGCCCCGCAGCCTGGGTGAGAGGCCCTCGGCCTGGGAGGGACCACAGATGAGCCACCTGCCGGCCAGAGGTGTTTATGAGGTCCCCAGGGGAGAAGGGCAGCCCTGGTGGGGGGTCAGCCGCCCCTCGGACCCCCTAGCAGAGTTGTGTTGGGGGAGCAGTGAGGGCAGAGCCCTGGCCTGGGGTCCCGGGGCCGGGCTGACCTCATCCCTGTCAGTAATTAGCAGACACATCTCTTGTTCTCAGAATGACTGAGGGTCAGTCTGACCCTCAGTATCCTCTTCTATAAAGTGAGCAAAATAGTGTCTCCACCCCATGGGCTGCCGGGAGAGCGGGTCAGCTACTGAGGTGAAGCCGAAGCTCTCCTCCATCCTCAGACCTTCGGAAGAAGAGGGAGAAGAGTTGAATGATCCCAAAGGTCAGGTTGGGGGTTGAGGGAAAGCAGCCTTCATTCCCTCCAGGGCCGGCCTTGGCTGGGCCCCTCTTCCTGTCCCGAGCCCCAGCCAGCCATGCCCCGGTGTCGCGCCTTCCTGTGGCCTCTCCGTGCGTCCTCGGCTGATGCCCAGTGCTGGCCGGGCCTTGCTGGGTGTTGGGTGTCTTCCCGTGTGGAGCTGGAACCAAGCAGGACGTGCCTGGTGGGCGCTGCCTGCGGGGCGCCCCAGCCCAGCCTGGGTTTCAGAGTAAAAATAGGCCTCTCCCTCCCCGTGACGGGGCAGCCCTCCCCGGCCAGCTGCCGCTCCCTTCAGCTGCTCTGATTTCACGGCTCAAGTGTTCAAGGTCGCTGGGTCGCCCAGCTCGGGGCCTCTGCTCCCAGCAGCTGGGGCAGCTCGGGGTCCCTCTGGGCCGGCCAGCAGCTTGGCGGGTCCTCCTCCCGGGCTGAGCCGCCTTCTTGCCGTGGCAGCCCAGCAGCCTGGGTGGAGGCCAGGGCCTCCCAGGGCCTCCCCAGGGTGGCTCCCGGGGTCTGGTGGGCAGGAGGCACCGGGCGCCTCTTCTGCCCCCCAGAAAGACCCGGGAAGGGCCTGTAAGAGGCCTGTGTGGTCACGCCCCGGTCTACGCCCCTCTCTGTGCCGGTCACCGTGGCTGGGGGTTGGGGAGCTGTGATTGGCTGGGCAGGGCCACACGTGTCCCCAGCCAGGGAGGCAGCCCTTGTGCAGGGAGCTGGCCCCGGGGGACACCAGGTCACTAGATGTGGACCCTCGGGGAGTCCTGGGTGGACTGGGGACAGGCCGGGCCACGTGGCCTGCAGGGCACCAGGACCCCGCCCACCGTGTGTCCACCCCGAGGGGCACAGCGACACCCCGTGGGGTCTCTGGGGCCTGCCCGGCCGTCGCGGTGCCAGGACCTCCCCTCTGTGCCCCCACACGTTGGGAACATCTGGCCCTGGTGCCCCGGGCCAAGCTGATGGACGGGCCTCGAGGCCTGGGCCTGGGAAGCACCGCCCTCCTCCAGCTGCTCCACGTGATGCTTCTGGAGGCTTGGCCCCCGGCCACCGCCTTGTGTAACCGCCCTGAGCAGGAGGGAGGCGCCGCGTGGGTGGGGCTACAGCCCTGCCAGGCGAGCAGGGGACAGGGAGGCCAGGGCAGGGAGACCGGGGGCAGGGAGGCCAGGGGGCAGGGAGGCCGGGGGCAGGGAGGCCAGGGGCAGGGGTCTCCGATCAGGGCTGAGGAAGGCCACCCCTCAGCTGTTGTCTTCTCCTCCCCCTCCTCCCCCTCCTCCCCCCTCCTCCTTCTGTCTGTCTGTCTTTCCTCCTCTGTCTCCATTCCTTCCTCTCCTCCCGCCTTCCTTTCTCCTGGCCTCCCTTCGGGAGCCCACCCTGAGGCCCACCTGGAGCTGGGCAGGAGGTGGAGCTGTGTTAACAAACGCCAGGCTTTTAGCTGGGCCCAGCCACCCTGGAGGCCAAGGCAGGAGGATCACAGTTTGAGGCCAGCCTCAGCAACTAGTGAGACCCTCTCTCAAAATAAAGTAAAAAGAGCTGGGGCTGCTTCTCAGTGTGGAGCACACCTGGGTTAAGTCCCAGCGCTGCAGGGGGGAGGGGGAGAAGGAGGGAGGGGGAGGGGGAGAGGGAGGGAGGGGGAGAGGGAGGGGGAGAGGGAGGGGGAGGAGGAGAGGGAGGGAGGGGGAGAGGGAGGGAGAGGAGAGGGAGGGAGGGGAGGGAGGGAGGATGGAAGGAAGGGAGGGAGGGAGGAAGAGAGGGAAGGAGAGGAAGGAAGGAAAGGAGGGAGGGGGAGAGGGAGGAGGGGAGAGGGAGGGGAGGGGGAGAAGGAGGGAGGGGGAGAGGGAGGGAGGGGGAGAGGGAGGGGGGGGGGGAGAGGGAGGGGGAGAGGGAGGGAGGGGGGGGGGGAGAGGGAGGGAGGGGGAGAGGGAGGGGGAGAGGGAGGGGGAGGAGGAGAGGGAGGGAGGGGAGAGGGAGGGAGGGGAAGAGGGAGGAGGGGAGAGGGAGGGGAGGGGGAGGAGGGGAGAGGGAGGGAGGGGGAGGAAGGAAGAGTGGGAGGGGGAGAGGGAGGGAGGGAGGGGGAGGGGAGAGGGAGGGAGGGGGAGAGGGAGGGAGGGGGAGGGAGGGAGGGGGAGAGGGAGGAGGGGAGAGGGAGGGAGGGGGAGAAGGAGGGAGGGGGAGGGAGGGAGGATGGAAGGGAGGAAGGAAGGGGAGGGGGAGGGAGGGAGGGAGGGGCAGGAGCAGCCTGGGGGCCTCTGGAACATGGAGGGAACCCTGGGCCTGGGTGGAGGGAGCAGGGGGACAGAGGCCCGCGGGTGGGGTGGGCCAGGCCTGGACATGGGGCCCGAGGGCTCTATTCTAGGACAAGGCAGAGCCCCCCGGGAGGCTTGGACCCACTCACCTCAGGAAGGCCCCCGGGTGGGGAGGGGTGGGGGAGGGAGAGAGGGTCCCTGCAGGTGGAGGGGAAGGGGCTGAGCCTGGGGAAGTCGGGGGCCCCTCGGCAAGGGGGACGGTGGGTTTGCGCACCACTGAGAGAAGAGGGTAAAACACGGGCAGCTCTGGTGCGGGAGTCCTTAAGGGCACACAGCCCCCGAGCAGTCAGGAGGGCTTCCCGGAGGAGGAGGCCTCAGCTGAAAACAGAAGGGTGCGTGGGAGCTGCAGAGGAGGGGGATGCTGTCCCAGCGGCAGGACAGCCGTGCAAAGGCCCGAGACAGGAACTGCAGGGGCAGAGCGTCTGAGGGCGCAGGAGCCGTGTACCAGTGCGCAGGCCCCGTGAGGCAGGGCCGGGCTCAGGGGTTGGAGGACCTTGTTCTGAGGGCCCCAGGGGCCCTGGAGGCTGGAAGCCTGGCCAAGTCAGGTTTGTGGCCTACAGGGACTCGGTGGTCACCAGTGGCATCTGATGGCGGACCCAGGGCTTCTCTCCTGAACGGCCCCGTGAGGTGGCTGGTGTCCGGGCAGCTGCCGACCCCTGAGCCTCCCTTGGGAGGTGCTCCCAGGGTCCCCGGCTGCGCGGCCTTCAGCAACTGCAGGACACCGGCCTCAGTTTCCTCCAGACAAGGAGGAAGGAGGCAGGGAGGCCAGGCTGAGCGAGCCGTGCCGCGGTGGGCTCTCCCTCTGCACCCCGACGCCCCAAGCAGGACTCTGAGGAGGGATCTGGGAGGAAGGGGCTCTGGGGGTCAGGGCAACAGCCAGGAGCCCAGGGGCTGTCATCACGGCCACCCTGGCCCGAGAGGCTATTGACCTGAGGAGGGCGGAGGAGGCCGAAGAGGGGAGGCTCTGGGCACCGTCTGTCGTGGGTGGTGGCCTGACGGCTGAGCCTCTCCCCTGGGCTGCTAGGGGTGGCTGGCTGCAGCCTGCCCCCGGCCGGCACTCCTGTCCCTCCCCAGACCCCGGAGGGCGTCACTGAGAGGAACTGGGACAGCTCATCTGGAGGAGGGGCGCGCGCAGTGCGTCTGACCGCCAGGCTGCCCCTGGACACCACGGCCCCGCGGCCAGGACGCCTCAGCTACGCTCGGCAGCCCAGGCCTGGGCGACTGGTCAGTTGGGTCTGAGGGGTGTCGACTCAAAGCTTTGCCCGTTTTTAAGTTGGGTCATTTGCTTTTTCTTGTTCCGTGGGAAGCATGCACTGGGTGTGGGACCTGGAATGTCCCCAAAGGCTCACATGTTCAGGGTGTGGGCCCAGCTTGCTGCAGTTTGGGGGAGAGTGGAACCCTTAAGAGGCGGAGCCTGGTGGGAGGTATTTAGGTCATTGGGGCATGTCCCCAAAGGGACCTCTGCCTCCCTCTCTCCTTCCTGGCCATGAGGACAGCAGTTCTGCTCCTTGACCCGCTCCTGCCACAGTGACCCGCCTCACCACAGACCCACAAGCAGTGAGGCCACCAGCCATCCGACCTCCAAAACTGTGAAAAAAAAATGGCCCTTTGTTTCTTTTTAACCATTAGATCATGGCTGTTCGTTTTCGTTATTATTATGGGTTGTTTGGACATAACATTAGGAATCATTTTGATATAATTATAAAAGCACAGAATATAATTTGCTCCACTTCAGATCCCAGTCCTTCCCCTTTCTCTCCCCTTCTCCCTCCCTCCCTTTTTTCTTTATAAAGTTGCCTGTGTCAGGTGTTTGTCACACTGCAGAAAGCTGACCAGCGCAGCATTCTCTACAGGTTCTAGATCTAGTTCCTTATCAGATGTACGGTTTGTAGGCATTTCCTCCACCCTGTAGGTCGTCTGGACTTTCTCAATGGTCTCCTTTGGAGCATAAATGGTTTTGTTTTTGATGAATTTCAATCTGCCTATGGTTTTTTCTTTTTGGTGTTCTTTGTAAAAATGAAACGGTCTTATCTAAGGTTATGAAGGTTTTTCTCCTAGATTTTATTCTAGGACTTTTATAGTTTTAACTCTACATTTAGATCTTTCTTTTAAATTTTTTTTTTTTTTTATTTTCATGTGGTGCTGAGGATTGAACCCAGGTGCCAGGCAAGTGCTCCCCTGCCGACCCCAGCCCAGCCCTAGATCTTTGATCTACTTAATTCCTGCGTGTGAGGTGTGAGGTAGGGTCCACTTCATTCTTTTCTGTGAGGACATCTAGTTGTCCGGACCCTGTTTGTTGAAATGGCTGTTCTGCTCCCACGGAATGGTCTTGGCTCCCTTGTCAAAGGCCAGTGGCCAGCCAGGTGAGGTGGCCCCACCTGTCATCCCAGTGACTTGGGAGCCTGGGGCAGGAGAATCCCAAGTTCAAGGCCAGCCTGGACAACTTAGTGAGACCCTGTCTCAAATAAAAAATAAAACGTGCTGTGGTGTAGCTAGTGGTAGAGCACCCCTGGGTTCACCCCCGGCACCAAAAAAGGGAAAAACCAGTCACCCGTAGACGTTTATTCTGGACTCTGGATTCGTTCCCGTTGATCTTGATGTCTGTCTCACTCCCAGCCACAGTCTTGGGGACTGTAAGACCAGGCACCTCCCTGTGGGCACAGTGGGGACCCCCCTGGGACCTAGGGGGGCTCACACTCCTGCAGAGCTTCAGGGGTTCTGGGTGGCCTGGGCCAACCACAGAGCTGTGCTGAGACAGCAGTAAGAAAGGTGGCGGCCGGGGGCCTGGGGCTGGGGGCCTGGGGCTGGGGTCAGGGGCATGGGGTCAGGGGTCAGGGGCCTGGGGTCAGGGGCCTGGGGTCGGGAGCCTGGGGTCGGGGGCCTGGGGCCAGGGGCCTGGCAAGGGAAGGGCTCTGGGATGGGAGGCTACAGTGGGCCTCGCACACCCAGCTCTGGTGTCCAGCCTCGATGTCTGGGGCAACAGCAGCCCTGGAGGACAGAGCGGCAGGGCAGCAGGTGGCAGTGGGGGGAAGCCCCCCACGGCCTGCAGAAGCCTCGGCCCTTCCCCGGCAGCCGTCCACCCCTGCCCAGTTGCCACTGCTCAAGGCCTGTGGTGCTCCAGGGGCCTCCGGCCAAGGCCCTCTGGAAAGCACCGGGGCCACAGCACCTCTTTCCCGTGCCCGGGACCCTGGGTGGCCGGAAGAAGTGCATTGTGCACTGGCCTCAGGATTTCCTGCAGTGGCCATGGGCTGGACGGGGCTTTGTGGAAACCCTCCCCAGGGAGCTCCGTGCTGCCCGGCCAGGGTCAGGCCCGGGAGGCGGTGGGAGGGCCCTGCAGGGAGCAGCCGCCATCTGCCTGCTGGGGCTTGGGGACCCTGGAGCCTCTCCCACCCATCTGGCTCTGGGTGCAGTCACCGCCCCTTCCTCCAGCCCTGGGCTGCCCCCGTGCCACGTCCGACTCCATCTCTCACGTCCGTCTCCGTCACCTCTCACACCCTGGGCTGCCCCCCGCTTCACGGCTGCCTTGGCCTCCTCCTGGCGCCTCTGTGGGCTGGTGCTGACTGGCCCTGAGGTGGGTGGCCGTCTCCTGACCCCAGTGGGCATCTCCCCTCTGCTCTTTGCCCCCCGCAGAAACATCTGGGGCAGCCCGGGCAGAGCTGGGAGGTCAGGCTTTGCTCGCTGTCCCCAGTCTCACCTGGTGGCCCTTTGTCCCTCCTCTCTCCCTGAGGACATGGAGGGCTGGTGAACTGCAAAACGTCACCCTCGGCCCCTGCCCCACGTGGTCCTGACGGTCACTCCTGACACTGCAGCCTAAACCCAGCCGTGGCAGGGGCAGGGAGCGCAGGCCAAGGTGGGATATTACCTACACAGCAGTGTCCACCAGGCCTAGGAGGGGGCTCCAGGAAAGTCCTGGGGGGTCCTCAGGACAGGGGGCTGAGCTGCGGCCACCCCACCCCGTGGGGTGCAGAGTCTCCCCACCCCGCCACCCCACCCACCTCCCCAAAGACCACAACACCCCAGGGGCATGACCACCCACCAAAGGCCGCAGCCGCCAAGCCCAGCCAGGGCCCGTAGCTGTCACCAAATTGCCAAAACCCATACGTGTCCTCGTGGCCCCGGGTCCAAGCCAGACTGATCACTCCTGAGACGGCTTCCAGGTGGCTGTGGGGGCCGGGAGGCGGGACCTGGTTCTGCCCCAGGGACGGGAGGAAATGTTCTGAGATCCCAAGGTCTGGGCCCTCCGTCCCACCCTGAGCGCACTGCCCCCTGCTGACCCAGCCACACCTGGCCACGGGAGCCTAACTCCAGGTCAGGGTGCCCTCAGAGCCAGCAGACCTGGAGCCAGCCACCAGGAGCCTCTGCGTCCAGCTCATGTCCCTCAGACAGCAGAGCCAGAGAGGGCGGCTGAGCCTGGGATGTGGCCCGAGCTGGGTGACCCGTCCTCGGATCTGTTCCCGTTGTCCGCCCCTGCCCTGCCGGAAGCAGGAAAGGGCATCGAGGCTGGGCTTTCCACCGGGCAGGGGCGGGGCGGGGGCGAAACACCGACATCCTCCTGGTCACTGGGCCAAGGGGGCAGCTTGGTGGCCCATGAGTCAGGAAAATGGGTACAGGGGCTCTCAGTGGTCACTCGGGTGGAGCCCAGGCAGGGCCACGACCCTCAGGTAGGCACCTCTGCCCTGGACGGCCTGGGCGGGAGGGCGGGGACCCTCTGGAGGCAGCCTGGGGGTGCAGGCAGGGTCTGCCCCCAAAGGTCGTAGGAAAGAATGGGACCAGGGAGTGTCAGGGTCCCGGTGGCCGAGGGCCGAGGGGCTGCGGGAGACGCAGGGGTGGCACCTCCCCCACCTGAGTCCAGCCAGCTTCGCCTGACGGGTGCCTGGGGGAGCTGCAGGATTCTGAAGTGGCCTGCCCCCGGGACATGCAAGGGCAGAGGGGACAGCCGGCTTGGTGTGCCCAGGGGAGGGTCCTGTAGGAGGGGCCAAGACGCAGATTGGGCTTCCGGCCTCTGAGGAAATTCCAATTAGATGTGCTGAGATGTTCGGGTGAGATAAGCTGACTCACGGGCAGCAGCGGGCGACCCTGCAGCCCAGGGGCAGGCGGACCCTGGGGGCTGGTGACTGGGTGGGGCGTCCTGAGTCAGCCTGCAGTGGGAGGGCACAGAGGGGGTATTGAGCCGGGCACAGTGGCCCACCCCTGTCATCCTGGAGGCTGAGGCAGGAGGATCTCGAGTTCAAAGACAGCCTCAGCAACTTAGCGAGGCCCTAAGGACTTCGTGAGACCCTGTCCCCGCCCTCCCGCCCAGGCCGTCCAGGGCAGAGGTGCCTACCTGAGGGTCGTGGCCCTGCCTGGGCTCCACCCTGTAAAATTGGGGGCTAGGAATGTGGCTTAGTGGCTAAGCACCCCTGGATTCAATTTCCTGTACTCCCCAAAAATGTGTGGAGAGCATCATATGGGTGTCCTGAGGCCGCTGGTCAGAAGTGTGACCGGGGTCTGCTGGGCGAGGGCTGAGCTGTCAGTGGCTGGATCCTCCTAGCTCCTCACCTTTGCAGCATCTGGAGACCATCTGCTGGCCCCTTCCTGTCTGTCCCTCTCTCTGACCCCACCTCCCTCTTCCCAGTGACATCGGGGTACCCCTATCTCGAGATCCTTAACTGAAACCACTCCTGTGCTGTCCCTCTGCTGTCCAAGTTCACGCAGTGCCAGGTTCCAGGGATTGGGACCCTGTGGGTCCCTGGGGGTCACTCTTCAGATGAGCACAGCATTACGGTCCAGGCCGCTCTCCCAGGAGAGGAATTTGGGGCCCGAGCTCAGGGGTGGCAGGGGCCAAGGCATCCTGGGAAGCTGCAGCCGGTTCCCAGAGCTGAAGACTTCTGGAGGCACGGAGGCCCCAGGTTTGGGGTGGAGGCCCTGGTCCTGCGGGAGGACCCGGTCAGGCCACATCCTGCCCTGGTGGAGCCGGGGCAGGCTCCCAGGGACACAGCCTGGCCTGGCCTCGGTCCTATTAAAAGCCGGCCGAGTGGGGCAGGGGACTGTGCTCTGCAGAGCCCGCCCTGGGCCGGCCACTGCCGAGGGGCCACGCCCGCCGGCCCTGGGCTCCGTCCAGCAGCCTGGCCCTGGGCGGCTCCGGGTCTCTCAGTGTCCTTCTCAGTAGACGTGGAGATGAGCAGTGGGCCAGCACCATTCTGGGTGCAAGGGCACGAGGAGGACCCTGACACTCCTCCTGGGGCTGTGGCCCGGATCCCTGACCAGGCCTCTCGCGTGTCACCTCGAAGGACTGCCACAGCACCCTGCCGGGAAGGCACCCTTTTGGGGGGGTTGATCCTCCCCTCTGCTTTTTGTTTACTTAATCATTTTATTTTATTTTTAAATTTTGAGACGAGGTCTGACCACGTTTCCCAGATGCCCTCAAACTCCTGGCCTTGAGCAGCCACCGCCCCCACCCCAGCCTCCCAGGCAGCAGGGACCCCAGGTGCAGGGCCCACACCCGCTGCCCATTTTAAAAACGGAGGCAAGATCCAACATGAAATCCACACTTGACCAAGGGACAGCGCACGGGGCTCAGGGTACCGTGGCGGGCAGCCTGTCCCTCTGGTTTCTGAGGCCTTCAGCCCCCGAGGAAACCCGCCCCATCTCCCCCTGGCCCCCGGCCCTGCACAGTCACTGGGCAGCACCCTGCTCTAGGCCCACCTCTCTGTCCGAGTTGTGCAAACTGAACTGGACACCGTGCGGCCCTCTGTGCCTGGTGCCTGCCCACAGCCCAAGGGTCGCTGTTCCTTCTCTTGGCTGACTGATGGCTTTGTCGCTGAACAGTGGTGGTCGGTTGTGTGGCGGGCCCAAGAGTTGTTGTCTAGCCCTCTGTTGACAGTGTCTGGGTTGTCTCCATTTTGATCCCCTTTTCTAAGCTGGGGACTTCCTGCCCCCCGACAGGCCAAGGCCCGGGCCCCGGGACAGAGCCCACTGTGGTTCCCAGGGCC